AGTCATTCGCTTTGTGGTTGCAATATGGTTAAGCTTGTAAAAACCCAATTTGCTGACTATTGAAACTTGATACTAAAAAAAAAACGACTAAATTTTTGTAAAATAGCGATCTCCTATCAAAAAAAATGCAAGTTGGGCATTATTAGTAATATTAAACTTTACAAAATTGTTACCAAATGTTGATAACAAAGCATTTACTTTATTTTTATTATTAATATTTCAAATTCATTTAATAAATATATGCAATTGTATATAATAAACTTTAGTTCAGTCGGAAATTTATAAAAATAAAATCGACATGGGTTAAATAGGTCTATAGCAAAGCCCTAGAGGTCGACGACAGGAAAACCTTTGGGAACCTATGAACTAAATCTTCAAAATGTTCAATTATAATCAAACACATTAGTCTCTTCTTTGAAGTAAAATATACACCTTCTTATCAAGCATTGATTTGAAATATAATCGCAAGTAGTATGTTACAAAACTGGTTTTGAGTCATTTTGTGGATTTATGGCTGCAGGGGTTATGTGCATAGTGCATGATATTTTTTCATGTTTAATTTGATATTCATATCTTTAATTGTCTGGTCTAATTAAAGCGAAGACTTAATTTGAAAATTAAAACATTTAATTGTCCAAAGTTAATGCAAGGGAAAAAATACTTTATTTATTATGATTATTATTTCATGACTCTAAACATTATTTGCTTACCTTTAAATCCTTCCTTCAAGTAGATAATATGAAGGCAGTTCCAATTATATCTTTTGTTGAAACCTGTATGTGGTTATTTACATTTTGACAAACTTGAATGGCATTGTCTTAAAGTTGTGCCTTTTGAAGCCAAGTCGGCATATTCGTGAAATTGAGGTCGTTGATGCGAAATTATAGTAATTTGCGATCATTATACTTAACGTTTTTGGTTTTGTGATAATTGTGTTGAAGTTTTGCATGCGCGCTATTATCCGTTATATACGCATAAACTTACATATATAAATGTTTACATATACAAATCCACGGGTGTATATTTCTAAATAATTTAAATGATAGGTTCCCAAAGTTTCTTGCATCGAGAAATACTAAAGCTGTCTAAAAAAAACTTAGAGAATTTGGCGAAGCTTTTCAATAGTCAGCAACTAGGAGCTTTACAAGCTCAACCATATTGCAACCACGGATCGAATGCCTATTTTTGCTACAATTTACACATTTTTATAAAAGATTATATTTACTTTTTAGTTCTGTTTATACATGTAGTAAACAGATATGTGACTCATTACTGTGAACCCACTTTTTCATTTCCATGAATTTTTTCTCTTGCTGACCTGTACCCTCAGAAAGTTGTCATAGACCCCTGTCATGTGGACAACTTTGGGAATCACTGGTTAAATAAATATCATAAATCCATCTTTATTATTTGCTATCAATTCAGTAATTCTTATTGCTTTTTACTTTACAATCCATATTATTGCTATGCCTCAGCTTCATATGGAGCCTCATACCACCTGCATTGACTATTGAATATTTTTACGACTGGCTTATGATTTGATTCATATGAAACATTTATCACTTTTGTATGAACAATACATTTCTTCGTTTATTGTACATCTTTTTGCAAAAATATTTGATTGTTTTATAGTTTTAATTTATATTACGTTATTTGTTATTTAATTCTTTGTCTGACTCGAACAGATCTAATAAAAAAATATAAAAAATGAATTTGTACTTCAATATTTATATAAAGATATTATCTTTAGATTTGAGATTTAATTTTTTATGAATAGAGATTTATTAGATGTAGAATTTCTATTATTTAGACGTCAATTACACGGTGTTACAATTATATGGGCAATTTAATCATGAAACAATAAAATAATAAAAATGACTATAAAAATTAATAAAGTATAATTTACAATAAAAAAAATATCACGGTTATATAAATAATTGCATAAATATAACAGGTGAGCCAGTAGTACATAAAGTCAGATTTTTTTAAGCAAAAATAAACATAGCACAAAATTATATTAAAGCTTTAGTGTTGCATTTTGTATATTAGCTTTAATAATTGAAATATAAAATTTAAAATATTAGATATTAAAAAATAAAATCTTGTGATAGAAATAAAAAGTAATAGGAACCGTTTTTAGCAGACAACTCGCTTGGGTGTTATTATGTAAATCATTTGTTAGACTCTATAATAATACAAGTTAATTAAATTTTATATACTAAACATTTTATCTCTGCTCTATAATATCTTCTATGGGTTACTTTCCTGTAATCACAAAATTAATTACAAAATATATCAACACCAGATACAATGTTCACTGCTTTTGCTTACAAAAGGATTTCTCAGCTCTACTATTACAGTTTGCTGGAATTTGTTTGATATAGTGGTATCCATATCCAGAATCTTAAAATAAAAAATTCATTTCCTAATGCATCTCAATCATCAACACGAAATCAGTAAAACAAATAAAATCCATTTACAATCGATCTAATAGGTTGAAGGAGCGACTTGGCGTTGAAAGATCCCATATTATTTTAGGCCCTCCAAGGATGACTAAAATGCGAACACGCACACCCGTTGTCAAGGAAAAAATAACTTAAACCGAATGCGCTAAAAATAAACGAAATCTCCTGTCTAATGTAAACATTTTGGGGCTTTTAATTACCTTCATGCGATAGCAATGAACGTCGCGTAATGGTTTTGGAATTGCCTCGTGGTAAAAGTTAGAATTATTAACTCAAGGGGATATCTTTAAAAAATAATGTTATTGAAGCTATTCTTTGGGCTTATATTTTATGACTCCCAAAATATTATTCATTGGGACTCTATTTTATTCCATTCTTTAAATTACAAGTGGCAAAATTGTACCTTGGACAATAAGACTCTTTTTTTTATTTACAATTGATTATTAGCTTTTGGCGTTGCAGTACTGAACATTAAGTGTAAAATATTAAATTATATTATTTAGTATTGACTTTTTTTATTAATTGATCAGTGGTGAGAACTTAAGGGTTCTACGAGCTCTTGCAAAGAGTTTCTTACAAACTACAGTTGATTTTTATAGATGGCAACCCAAACAGTTGTCCATCCCATCTCTATGTGATGATTTTTTATTATCACAATTATTGTAATAGTGATGACTATTTATTGGTGTAACAATGCCATATAAGGGCTATTTTCACTTGGAAACATTTCCAAAGAAAAACCGTTATCACTACTGCCAGACAACAGGCTGCTCGAAGATGGAACGAACCTGGGACCTCTGATCCTGGAACCTGGGACCTAAGCGAGCTCAGGATTGACATTATTGAACAAATTTTATTTTATTGCCCATATTAGACCAAAATTAACTAGCGCTAACACAGTCTGTGATCGATTGTTCCTTAGAATCGTCCTCCAATTCTTATTCTTCCAAAATTGATTTTTTTAAGCTCTTTGAGAGATTAGTTATTAAATTTTATTTTTGTGTTTACATGCTGTGTGCTCTTACTAATATGAATCAGGTATCTATTATAAATCCTTCGAAAGATGCGAAATATGCCGAGATTTTCTAATATGTCTGGTCAGGCCGGATTGTAAAACTATAAATAACTACGAAACATGTATGAAAAGTTGGCCACATATGCACGTGTCCCCTCTTCGTGTGTGTATTTTCACATGTGCAAATGCCGAGTCGTTTACATTTCATTTTATTCCTTGTCATTTTGTCTTTTTTATATGGCATTGTGTTTTATTTGAAAGAACTTGCAGATACTTATTGTTTAATGGACTTGATAGATATGGTAGATTTGAGATTTTAATCTTAGGTTTCTTGCTGTGGCGAGGTAATGAATTCTTATAATTTATCATTTAATTTGTTATTATTACTCATAAGATTGCTATTATTGCTTATAAAATGATATTTATTATGATTATTATACCATTGATTAATAATACCATTATTAATAAACCATTCAGTAATTTTGAGGATGCATGTGAATTATAGAGGTAAAGTACTGGAAGGTTACCCAATAGTAAGCCTTTTCGATTTTGATAAATTAAATTAAATTGTGCAGTCATATGAAGTATTTTTTTTTTAAAATAAATTATAACTAAAATAAGTACATATAATAAATAGCATTTTTAAAATAAAAATAATTTGAATTAGTATTAGAATATGCAATTGTTAAGAAATGTTATCAGTGTTCTTGAGAGTGGGCATTCCTGTGAGGCTTCAAATTTTTGTGAGATGGTTTTCAACTCTGTTCTTATATTTTAGAGTGACTAGTTTTATTTCCTCAATTATTATAAGCAATAAATGCTCAAGAATTTATGAACTAACCAGTTTTTAAATTTTGTTTTGAGACTTCTGGATTATGACAATGGTAGTAATGTAAAGGATCAAAATTTAGTTCCAGCAGTTTTTTTGTTTGGGCTTCACTTATTAATAAGTAATTAAGGGAATATTAATACTTCATAGATAAAGTTGGAAGTCATCGCCCTTATCATTTTGGGGCTTTTTAGTATACAGGTATATAGATTTTTTTTTATCAGTTTAGTGTGCCCTAATTATTAAGCACGCAAGCCGCTATTTTATCGAGCGAGGGTGTGTTCTTAATTTTATTATATATATATATATATATATATATATATATATATATATATCCAAAATTAAAATTTATTGATCTATTTCCGAATGTGTGCCCAATCGAATAACAAAACCTGAGCTAAAATCGCTCAATCAAGCATGAAATAGACATTAACACTTTTATAATCCACAAAAAGCGTTTACAGTTGAGCAATAACAATTAATTCAGCAATTGGCCGATTGGCTTATACAAAGAATGAAATTACGGTTTAGTGTAGTCGTTAACATTTTTATAATTTATCTGTTAATAGTCCACTTAAACATTTATTTCTTTTGTCAATGCGGCATTTAATTTAATCGTATAATTAAAAGATTATAAATAAATAATGAGTCAGATTTTATCTAATGGGATTGTTCTTGGCTGTCGGTTATCATGGATGAGGTGAATTTTAGCTTATCTCATCTAGCCTACGGATTAAGCTATAAAACTTATCAAAAATTAGATGCCCTTGGTGAGGTAAATCAACCTCGAGGGCAATCTTTCGATAATCAGGAAAAGTTCGGTTAAGTAGTAAATAATAATATTTTACCAATTACTTATCCTATATCTTAATTTATTTTTCATGCAATTGCAAACTGCTTGGAAAGGCATTGAGTCATTTTGTTGACTGTATAAGATTATGTTCTAAAATGCTACCCCATTATATCGGTTAAAATGTAATTTCTCATATTTCTGGGGTTGTTTGTGGAAATCAAGGGTTTGGCAAGTTGATTTGGATAGTTTTCCAGTCTTGTCTTGTATTTGGATGCAAATCTTCTGATTTCTTCCATTACTGTATGTATATTGGAGTCTTGGTCCGCCAATTTAGGACATACCTGGGTGCCTCCAATAACTTTTTCAGAATTTTATTCTTTGCAAAATGTTGGTTATTTTGATTTGATCCTATCTGTAAGTGATGAATTTGTTTAACCCTTTCCACTCGGATGCCGCCGCAGTTCCGTGGACAAAATACATACAAATTTTGAAATGCCCGAGTGGATAGGAACAAGGGAAAACTGATTTACCAATATTAGGTAAAGATTTTTTGGCAAAGTTTATACACTGGATGGAACACTTCGAATACCATAATAATTACAATTATTATTTTTTTTATTTTCCCGAATGACTAATTTCACAGCATTTACTAAACAAACACGATCCGATGACTTTGAAATTGTGATTCACCGTTGTTATGGCTCTGAAGTCGTAAGAAAATAAGCGGACAAGATTAAATAATGAAATAGCACATTTAACTAACTGTTGAGGTGTGTAGATTAACGGGCTCAAATTAAAAGAATTATTTTTCACAGTTACACTCTGTGTACCGCTTTTGTAATGATCAACTGCCGACTGTTTTATGGAAATATTAGAAAAGCCTTGCTAATTAGAAGTACTTACTGTGATGAATTGGTAATAAGTGGGTAATTGTGATAAACAATACAGTTGGAACAAATTTATTAAGTAACTACTTAAGTAATATTTCAGTTATTGGTGAAGTTTTTGACTACCTCATTAGGGCACCCCGTTCCTCTAATATGGCATACTTGTTTGCAGACTATCTTATTAATATTTTTAATAATATATTATATAATATTCAAAGTGGATAATTGTTCTAAACAATTCAGTTAGAACATATTTGTTAGTTACTATAGTAATGTGAGATATTGATTGAATACTTTCTGTTGTTGACCTTAAAGGCAGAGTTGTTTGCAGCCCTTATTTATTAATATTTCTTGTATTAAGATTTTTGTACAACAAGTTCAAATCTTCTTGTTTGTGCTATAATTTTCTATATTCATTATAATATAACCTTATTTTTTTAAGGTAAGTGTTACACATTTTCCAATGAATCACTATGTAATGTGATACTCTATTTTTACAAGTTGTGTGTTTGTTGAGCAAACATCATAATTTTTGAAGAGACAGTTAAATATAAATAAAAATTCTTCACGCTTAGATATCGTATGAAATCGTTCGAAAAATAAATAAGTGATAAATTTTATAAAAGTAAATTGATAAAGAAAAAGTTTGATAAAGAAAATGCAATTTTAGCTAACTGGACTTTCAGTGTAGTGATATCATATCATGAATTTATCATTAACGATTGAATATTTTATCACAATAAATTTTGTGCATTTTATTTGAAAAAGGCTTGTCCGTGGCTTAATGATTATGGCCTTGGCTTTCCAACAAGAAGGTTAAGGCTTGATACCCATTTGAAAATACAGATGGAAATATATTTCCTAGTGATAAACATAAATTTAAAGAAAGCATTAGTACTAGAGATTCTGAGTAATAAAAATCATATATAAGAGAGGAAAGCTCTTATAAATAATAAAAGATTTTTTAAGTATGAAAATTTTAATGCACTGAAATTACACTAGGTATTCCTGATGGCATAATGGATTTTACTTTAGAAGAAAATTTGAGAGCTGCGTAAATTTTTGCAGTTACTAACAGACTTAAGGACACATTTTTAGTTTTTATATATATAATAATTATTTATTTGTGATTTTTATGAACGTGGATTGTCTTGTTTTCCATACACGTTGCAACTTTCCTCTTCAATTACTATTCTGGATTATGTCCAAAATACATTTCGACTATAAATCAACTTTATTACCTTCACTTGTTTCTCGAATTCATTTAAAAACTCAATGCAGATACAACTTTTGCATGAAAATATCGTGTAGAAAACCTTAAATTTCTTCGTATTGAATATATTAAGACTCGTTTTGTATTCAACACGTCCAATATTCACAAATCGATAAAATTATTTAGTGTTGCACTTTCTAACATTACTTATGGCTATATTGATTTATTGCGATTGTTCCGGCAATAACTTTGCTACTGAATGCAATTAGTATATTTCTTCTTAGAAGAGCAGAGACGAAATCGAGATCCGTTATTTCTTTTGGATCCCTAAGATCAAGAGAAATATGTTCATGGGAAAAGTTATATTGCGACTAATTTGATAATAAGACCAATTGGTTGCAGGATTAAAACTTGTGGTATCCTACAACAAAAATTGTTAAAAAAATAGTTTCGAAACATGGAGCTGCAATATTTTGAATTTCATTATATTGGTGGAAAGTAAATGAAAAACAGTACCTTTATCAGTTAGGTTGGATCAGTATTGACTTTGTATGCGATTATCATTTTATTTCTTTATTAATTAATATCTACATGACTATATAATCATCATTAAGTCCTAATATGATAAAATTTCTATGTAATTACAATTAATTATTAGTAGTTCTTGAGCTAAAATCGCACATGCAATAAATTTGAGTTCCCACGTCGCGCATGCGAAACATGTGTGTAGATCGAATTTAAACTACTCACACATTGTGGAATGCAAATAAATATATGATGTTTGTTTACTTTTCATTACGCAATTAAATGTATATAATGTTTGAAATCTAGTAGATCGATTTGCAAAACACATGACTAGGTAGGATGCCATGGAATTGACGTAACAACTGGAATAAAATTACAACTAAAGTCCTAAGGCATACTCTGATCTCTGACTGAAATCCTTTAGCTCTCAACTACTAATGTTAGTGAGTCATATTATAAGAAATGTAATGCACAAATTTTATTTTTGGGATAAGAGAGCATTTTTGATCGAGTTAAAATTCTTGTCATCGTAGGCTCAACTCAACTGAACTATAATTTCATTCACTTAAATTTATTTGTAACATTTATGGTCTTGTCTAACGCTCATTTTAATTTAAATGATAATGTATGAAATGTTTAACTGTTAGCTTTCACGAGATAGAGAAACATCTCTTCTTCAAGTAGTTACAATTTGCTCAGAAAACTTCAACGAGTCCTTATAATAATTTTATACGGAATTAATTTTATATTCACTGATGATGAATAGTAAATGTTTATATACATTTTTGTACATTTAGGTATAAAATTAACGTTTTTATTATAATTTGCTCAAATTTGTCTTCTAAATAGGATATGATCGACGTCAGTACTGCATTATTAACAGTCGTTTGTTCAAAAACCGTTATAGGTATATAATACTTTAACAAATGAAGAAGTACGTTTAAACAAAGGTCAATAGATATATAAAGCTAAATCTTAGAAATGTAAGTAGAAAACTTCAAATGTACAAGACCTTTCGAGAATTTCTCACGTTTTGATAAAAGATCTCAAATATCCGATTTAGATCATTTATATCTTGTGAATAATACAGAACAAAAATACTATCTTTCACATTTTTGTTTTTTTTTGTAATGAAAAATTAGCATTAAAATAATCATGGGAATAATTATATGCTATTCTTAAAGATAAGAATTAAATTTTTATTCTAGTCTGCGCAACTGCATATAATCACACATCATTAATGAATTATTTTTATCTGACTATTTGCATTTTCAACGGTGCAAAAAATTAATAAATTTGCAAGTATAATGAATAAGATGTCAGGTTGGCCTTATGCCCTTTCTGAAATCATCGTGTGTTATTTGATACCCTTTTTAACGTAAAACAATTTTCTGAATTTGATAATAAAATATTACATTTTTAGTAATACTTAATCAGATTCCTATGAATAGTTTTTTATTACTTCCCAGTCTGTTGCAATTATTTTCTTACGGTCAATGTCGAATTTTTGTCGTTTCCAAAGGTCACTTCTAGAACAAAGCAATTTCATTAGTATGTAGAACGTATCCAAGTTGTTGAAATTATTTTGTTCACAGAGTAAGGAAATGATTGCAATCAAAATGCGATGTAAAGATTAAAATAGAATCTTGTAGTTTATCACGGTTTCTTCATATTTAAATCTAGCACAGGTGTGGGAAAGCTTTAATTTGCGAAAAAATCAAGCACAGTAATATAGTAATCTGAACATTATATATTTTATTTAATAACAGTTTTTATGCTACAAATATAAGTAGAACAAAATTTTAAAATGTTTTGATGTTTCACCTGCAACAAATCTTTCCATGTGATGAAATACAATGCAATTTCGTCTGTTTTTTAACATTTTTTGAATCCATTCTTAAGGTTGTTCATTTCTGTATTTGATCAAAAGAACTTCTCTCATACTTTCTGATTTTATGCAGTATTAAATATGCACAGTACTAAAATACGAGATATCCACCAATATCTACTATGTATAACCTTAAATTAAATGGAAGAAAGAAGAAGAAAGTCCAACAAAAGTTGAAATCTACGATGGTATTTCAACGAAAATTTTGACCTATAAGGTTAATTATGATTGTTTTCAAATCAAATTCTTTGAATTAGAATTGCATATAAAGATTTACATTCACTAATGTCTATATTATGTATGTTATATATGTACATATAAAGTCTCGTGACTTTCAAAATTAATTCGTGAAGTAATTAATTGTGCTAATTTTCAAAATTAACATGCTGAGTTGAAGAACTAAACTAGATGTTTGTGCAAGAAATACGAAAATAACTTGAAATTATGTACTGATTTTGTTTACTGAGTTCAAATTCAATGGTAAATATTTACTTCACTATTTAGAATTATGATATATAATGTCTGAAATAAATTATGTTCCTGAGTGTTTGCGAAATAAAACGTAAAGTCTTTTAGCAATCTAACGATGCCTATTAAAATTCAATAAAAAATCATTGTATGAATTCCAATTATAGGAGTAATTTTCTAAAATATACATATCTTAATTTATAGATTTCTATTTATTTTTTATTGAATTATTAATCAACAAAATAGGTTTTCCAAATTTTGGGGTAGAATTTTTTTATTAATTCGTACGTTGTTTATTTATTCAAGATTCATTTTTTTATTTTGTGGAACACTTTTTATTTAGGACGTCTCAAGAAATACTTTTACAGTTGAATAAATATCAAATGAAGCATAGGTCCTAACAAAATTTAAATAATTCCTGAATTTGTTTTCGTAATATTGAGCCAGTTTGAGCCATGATATTTTATTAAGTTGAACTTTCAAATCTGTAACAAAAGCCATTTTAAGATTTACCTTTCACCTTTTATTGCCGAGGTCGGAATAAATGCATGCTTTAAGAACAATATAAACTAACGTGCTAATTTATATTTCATGTTACTATTTATTATGGAAGATTGATATCAAATAATAATTTCAAGTACATTGCAGAATTGAGTAACATTTAGCAAAAGTAATCATATAAGAGCTTTAGTATTTTTTTGTACTAGTTTGACCTTTATAGAGATAGAGATACATTTTTGTATTGTACCTACTCATTAATTATTTTTATAAAAGAGTGGTCTCGCACAGTAATAGAACTATAAGATGTATAATAGATTAATACTTATAATTTAAAAATATTTTTTTATTGATAACAATTAGAACTTTACTAGTTCTAATGATCACTTCTTAATGATGTGGATTTATAGATGGCAACTTTTTGATGAAGTTATTATTAAAGTAACTCTAATAGTGATGACTTTTTATTAGACTCTTGGAAACATCTAACCATTTATATTTTTAAGTGAAAACCGATATGCCATTACTGGCAACATCAAGCTGATTGAAAGCCCCCAGCTCCAACTTAAATCTACGTGGGAGTCCCTAGTCATTCTTTGATATTATTTTTTCTTCTTAAACCGTTGTGAACTTGACAGATTTTCAAATATGAATTTAATTGTATTAATTGAATTACATCAAGATCACGTAATGTAAAAAAGCAATCATCTACACCTTTGTGAAATGCACGAACTCGTTCGCTCGCACTTTGATATAACCTCGAGTTCGTTGCATTGAAAAATCTTGTATAACGGATTCGAACAATAGACGCCTCTCATATATGAGATCGTTCTTCATTGTTCGGTATTTTTGGCGTGTCTATTGAACCGAGATCAAATCTAGGGTCGACCTCTGATCCATCCATACATTCAACTAACTTCTCACTACAATCTGTTATTATGATCGACACGAACGCACATTATTACTGTCAATGATGAGTGAGGTTCCTATCAATGCCAATATAAATCCATGAGCCGCTAGCACACGCGTTTTCGTGACTGATTGAATTCTTTTGTTGCCTTTTGATTTATTGGCCAATTGCTTTCTGATACGCATTTTGTCTGGGATAAGAAATTGGTCGTGGAAGGTGGTTCAATTCAACTTCTTTATACTTTTTCTTAGACATTAGATATTAGATATTGAGGGCCAAGGAAAAAACTTTACTGGGCACGTTCGGTAACAGGAAAAGAAACTTGATCGAGTCCATTCTGCAAAAAGAGTGCCGAAAAAGTAGGAGGATTGAAAAAAAAACTGAAAGAAGAAGGACTGAAAGAAGAAGGACTGAAGGAAGAGGGACTGAAAGAAGAGGGACTGAAAGAAGAAGGGCTGAAAGAAGAAGGACAGAAAGAAGAAGGACAGAAAGAAGAAGGACTGAGAGAAGAAGGACTGAGAGAAGAAGGACTGAAAGAAGAAGGACTGAAAGAAGAAGGACTTGAAAGTAGAAGGACTGAAAGTAGAAGGGCTCGAAGAAGAATGCATATGCGAGAAGAGAAAGCGCAAAACCTAGAGGCATGAAAGCAGAAGTTAATAAAAAATATTTTGGATATTCTGAATAGATTTTGCATTCATTTGAAAAATAACTTTTTTATATTCAAAGAGCAATCATAACTCGAAAGTTTCATGATCTGCAATATTTTGATGATATTTCTTAACAATGTAGTTTTTGAGAAGGCAATCTGACGGTTGGCATATCTCTTTTATATACATATGTAAATTATTATATTTTTTTAATAAGATCTGATGAATTTTAATTTGGTGCCGCAACTCCAGGGCTGTTTTTACTTGAAAACATGAAATATAGTTCAAGTTTCTAGACATTGTATGTGCCATTCGGCTCAATTGTTGAGCGAAGATAAAAGTAGACGCATTATTTACCTATAAAATTGATCAGGCGCCGTTGAGTCTGAAAGCTCTATCCGTGAACTCGAGTGCTCTGCAAAGAACTAGTTCTACGTGTTTAAATAATAGATCAAGATTTTAGAATTTTTCTTATATTCAGACCTAGCCTGTATTTAGATAAATATATTATATCGGTTTATAGTAGGTACTTTGTTTTATTTAAAAATTAAAATATTATGCTCGGTTGCTATTGATGTGATGATACTTCTGGAAGTATGTTGGATTTCTAAATGCTCTTGTTTTATATAATATATTACTTAATTGATAACTCTTTCATATATAAAAATGTGAAGAGACTTTTTTAACTTTTTGCACAATATTAGGTTGTCAAATATGCGCAGGAATTTATGTCGAGTTTTATTTGCTACGTTTGAATGCCATATTTTCATTATTTTATTACAAACAAATTAATGTAAATATTATCTTGTATACATTCTCATATTGTATTGTGATGCGATATGATACGCAGTAGTTTATTTATAATTTTTACTAAACTGTTTTTGAATTCATAACAGTGACAATTGGATATTGAATATGTAAATAATTTGTCTTTATTATCATTGTTAGCAATAAATTATGGCGCAGTTTGAAAATTACCAATTAAATAACCAACAAACTATACCTTCATATGATAAAAAAATCCTAATTATTCTTATACAAATTTTTATTTTTTTGATAACTGCTTAGGTGTCCGTTTTTGTGACTCTATTTTTTTGGTAATTATTATTAGACCAATGAGTTGTTTTGCTGACTTCTTAACGACGTTGTTTTTTTTATAAATTTCTCAGTGATAAATTTGTTATTAGCATTTCTGTAGTACTGATGATTTTTTGTTGATGCAGCAATTTTGGATAAAGGATATTATCAAGTGAAAATCAAAGTCACATTAGGCTGTCCGAAAGCAATATCCAACCTGGAACCTCTGATTGAAATCCCATAGCTCTCATGTATTAATTTAATCCACAAATATTTGAACGGTTGAAAGAAAAATTTATCAAACATAATTATCGTTTGAATAATATGTATTTAATCCGTGGCTAATATTATAATACAAATACACTCTCAATTACAATCAGTGGTCTATTTATTAGAACAATAAGCTCTCAGCATATTTTGTTATGTATTATATCATTCACATTGTTCGTTGTTATTGCACGTTTGAATTATATTCACAATGTTTAATTTCTTCCTTAGCGTGAGAATGGCTTCATTTGACTGGGAAATGTGGTTACGGTCTGACGAAACAATAATAAGCATAAACTTGGCCAGAATTTAGCATAAATCAGGGATTGGCAAGACAGATTTATTTGCAAAAAGTTTGTTAATAATTGGACGTTGCTGATTTATCGGCTGAGTTTCTTCTTAGTTGTTGTTCTGATGGAGATTAGAATTATGGTTGAGCCAAGAGCATATGGGCGCCCTTTCATACCAAATAGGCCTCATTGTGCTATTTAAACGACTTATGTCATTTTATAGGTCTTTTCGAAAAGAATTTTCTATACCAATTTTCAATTTTCTTCTGGCTCATCATTTGGCCTAGATATCATCGAAAATATGCCATTTTTCAAACTCACTTCATTAACTTTTTTTATCAAAATTAGTGAAAAATGAAGTGTTTAGTGTATGTACATTAACATATATAAATGATGTATACATATATAAATCTTATACATATTTAAACAGAAGTTGATTTTCCCATTACAATTCAGAGTAAGGGGCCTCAGAGTAATTTTGCGATAACATAGCGTTGTTATGGCAATGCTATCTTATCTTTTTTCTTGGTTACTAAAAACTGTGAAAATGCTAGCTATAATTTAACAAAAAAGTTCGATTTCCATGCAATAGTATACTTGTTAATATTTTTCAATTTAGTACTCTATAATCATGTAAAATAATGGAGTAGATAGAGTAGTAAGTACACATTAAAGACTAAATTAAAATTATTACTTTTACATGCGGTTTATGTATAATATTTAACCATAAACTTTTACGTGATTTTTATATCATTAATCCCTTTATGCAAAGATAACCATAAATTACAAAACCATTTCATCCTTTGAAATGCAATTAAAATTATTATTAGTTTTATTACCAGTTATTTAAAAGCTGCTTATAGTAATGGCATTCAAATAAATTATTCCAACGGTATTAGTAATTTTTTTAGTACTTAAAAACTTTATAGAATGGTTGATGTTTTTTTTTTCGAATAGAATTGTTTTAAATTTCTTTACATCTAAATTTTTTTTAAGATTCTCATAGTCTATATTTCATACTTTTTATTTATCATTTACTTTTTTGATCATTTATTTCGTTCTACAAAAGATTCAAATTATTGTGTATCACTCTCTATATTCTCGGTTTATTATTTCTTCTGGAGAATTTTATACTCTAACACAATAATTTAAAATATTCTAAATTATATTACTACTAAATGATTTTAGGAATTCAAATTTATCTTCGATGAATTAAATATTTATATGTAATGCAATAACAAATTGTATATTAACAAAGCAAAATTTAATCTCTTAGACAATTTTGTTATGGTAAGAAATAACTTGCATTGTCGAGCTTGGAAATAAATGTACTGTTATAAAATGCATTCGAATTATATTGATGGAAAGTTTATGTATATAGAAATAGGCATGTAGTTCGACTACATAAGATAAGGATAATTTAATATCATTGGTAATGCTTAGATTTAGATAGGAAATATTAAACAAATTACCTATATGTGAACTTACAAGTACAATATACAATTTTTTTTTACTTAAATTATGTTTACATTATATGAATGTTACTAATTGGGTTGGAATTTAAAACAAAAATTGGCACCAGACTCTGACCACTAACGTCTTATTGTATTTCATTTGGCTTTAAAGTGTTTTTGTCAGCAAGATGAAGTCAAAGTTTCCATATGCTCGCAGTGAATCATGAAATTATTTGCATGATTCACGTTTTCGTGATACGATTGTTAATAACATTTCACGAGTCAGCAAAAACAATACTAATTTTGTGGTTATATCATTCATGCAATTATTGGATATAATGTTTATTTTATATTAATTGCTGGTACGTGGTCTGTAATTTGGCTATCACAAATTTATCTACATGTTTAATGAAATATTTACTGTTTAGTATATATTTCTAATCTTCTTTCTAATTTGCGCAGATTTATTAACAGATAAAAAGAAAATCTTACCTAACTATCGATCAGCTGGTGTAATTTCTTAAACTGCCGTTAGAATTAACTCTAGCCTAGAGATCTTGATTTATTTGATGCTTGTGAAAATTTGACCTTAATTGATATTAACTTGTATAGAAGTACATATTAGGTGGAATATATGGCCTATATATATCATGGGCGCGGTGTGATATATCTTCTGTCCTTATGGGCGATTTATCATTGATATCATAAATAGATGCATTTGAACGACCTCCTACGCTAAAACAAAATAGGAAAACTGCTGCATAATGGACATAAAAATTATTAATGCATACATATATTAACGTAACGGGGTTTTTATGGTTAATATCTGTATTTTGTAGCTTTGTTAAAAGCAGAGTCCATGGCACATATTCGATTGCTCTAGAATTCTAGAATAACAATGTTTGTTATCTATTATTTGTAATCCTAGTAAAATTGTCAAATGTCAAAAATATTAGCATCCACATCTAGATTTTTCACTCACTTCCATCTCGTAAGTCATTTCTATTTCGTGGACTTCGAATTTTTTTCGCTGACGTGGATCTCCTGAATGTTGACCCTTGAGTGTTCATGTGGACCACTTTTGGAATCACTGGTCTAAACAGATCTTGTTCGAAATCAAGGGTTTTCGGGTTGAAAAAATAATTTTGTGTTTTGAATTGTGAACGTGTTCGGTTATCATGGTTTTAAGTTGCTTTTGAATTATTACCGTGTTGATGGAGGCATGCATATATAATATAAAATAATGTAATATAATTTGTGTGTTTGAGCGGTTATCTGTATGTGTCACCCGTATCTTTCAAGACTCATGTATTACATAAATCAATATCTAATCCGGCGTTGACAGAACTATCGTTACAAATCTTTCACCACTAATTAGGCACAAGGAAATGTTTCATCTGAGCGTTTAGACTTCTTCAAATAAACGACAAAAACAAAAGAATCAGTGTTGGTGTCAAGTTTTATGCATGTCCCGTTATAAGCAGACACTTTCTACATATATGTGCACGAATGCCCGTGGCGTTTTTTATCGGCCTTTTTTAATTCATTTCTCTGATCTGTTACAGCTGACGGGCGTTAAATCACTTTCGCTCGATTATATGCGATTAATTCAAAGCATCCTGTGGGAATTTGTAGGTTTCGATTTGGTTTATTACGATTGCAGACTGATTTTCCGTTTTGCACTTTAATTGCGAAATATCACTTTGGGAATACTTGGAAGAACAGGCTGATTTGTGATCAGAATGTTGAAACTTAAATGTTAATTAGTTTTATTTTTTGAGCTGTGAAAACAATTTGTAAGAGAGTAGTTGCGTTTTGACAAACTATTGGTTAACTAAAAGGTTTACTTTTTTCTAAAATGAGCAATCAGAACGACTTAATCTTATGTGCCTTTTTTGCTTAAGACTTAACCTAATGTTTCATAAGAAGCAACCCATCAGTTTACAATTCTTTTATATGTGGTGTTTATATTACCTCTTACGTCTAATATTTATCTAGAATAAATGTCGCAGCTATGCCCATGAAAGGCGATTTCCACTTGAGAATTTTTATCTGAAGACTAGGATGCCAGCCGAAACGTATAGATATCGAATAAACTTATAACAATTCATACGATTTTTATTGATGTAACGCCCGATCTATAATAGGTACATAAATATATATTTTCAAAAATTTATTTGAAAATATGTCAAATTATTTCAGAACTACTTTTTTAAAAGTATCTTCAACAATAAAATAAAAGAATTCACAAAAGTAAAAAAATCAATGTTGTTCGTCTAGTAGTTTTCTCTTTCAGAATGTATTTCGATAGTTCATCGTACACAGAATGATCAGTTATTTAAAACAATGGTTCACTTTTACTATTTTTTATCGAATGGTTATTATGTTACAATAATTTCGTTTTCGCGTGTAGTTCAATCGCAAAAAATCTTAACAATGAAGAAACTACTTTCGTAATACCTCATAGGCCAGGAGATACATTTTTGTTGATTTTTTATCATTGCCTACGCTTGAGGATAATTTAATGCCAGTTTGTTATGCAATTTCTAGTTTTTTTTTAATATTTGATTAATGTATTTATATGAAGTGATCATTAGATCGAAAGCGGAAGGTGTGCACTTGAACAAAATAAAGCTCTTAAATATTAACTTGTGTAGGAAGGAATATAGACAAGATACATTTTGTAATAACAAGTATTCTCGTTTACATATATATTTGAAATCAAGTAATAAGTAGAAATGAAATTATGAGAAAATGGTTATAAAAGTACTATGGTTTTCATGTTATAATCCGTGCAACTTATACTGTAAATTTGAAAAATTTATTTGGAAGCTACAGAACCACACTTCTACATTATTACTAAAAGATTTAACAAATAAAAATATCAATATATATCGATCATTAAAAAAATGAAAATATGAAAATATATTGAAACTCAACAGTCCTTCATTCTGAAAAAAATTTATTTAAGCAAAACAGATACGTTTTGCTGAAGGTTGTTTCACTCAACTACACATGGTATTCAAAATAATACAAACTTGTAATTTGTTGCTTTATGTGCATTCTAAATTTCAAAAAGTATTTATTACTTCGATTTATATTTTTTCCTTCATTTCTCAATTTTACACGAATAAATTAATTCTTCTTACATAAATATCTTTAAGCATTTAAGGTATAAGCTTTCTCTGACTTATATTTTATCAGATTTCGCAATTATAATGAGTTGTAAATAAGTGATATATTATATCATCTAAAATTCATTATAATTAAATCTTCTAATTATGTACCTTTTGATGTTTTTTATTACTTTATCGCATTAGTTATGCAAAAATTGACAATGAATTTACATAAGTTTTTATAGTTCAAGCAATAAAAAGCATACAAGTAGCAAATTGTTATTCTGTTTTAGTAATTATTTAATTTAGAACACTTTCATTTGTTACGCTACACCGCCGGGGACATAATTTAAAGTAGTTTTTATAAATAGATTTTTTATAAAACTATTCATAATTAACTATGCTTAATTATATAATCGTATTGTAAAGGCAATGGAATAATACATGGAGTGAAAAGCATTTTTGCTGAATAATTTGAATATTAATATTTTCATATTCATTGCGAGTGCAGAGTTCCATATGGTTAACATATAACAAACCTATACAAATGTTTTTAGAAGCGCAAATGATAGTAATATTTTATAATATTACACTATTTTGAGTTACAATTAATATTTCGAAATACAATTATGAATATAATATTTTGCTGGAGTTTCCAAATTTTCTCTCAAATCCAAAACCTTTTTATTCGATATTTACCATGATTATTGTACCATGATGCATTTCATTTGTACCATATTAGTCCTAGTTCTGTATTAATACACCAAAATGGGTCGTTATTGTTTAATTTGGTATATTTTTGTTAATAATCTCTTTTAATTATATTCACCGCTCAATAATAATATAAGACAATATATCAAATAGTTGTAGTAAACAAATCAATCACAAAATGTGACAAGCCAAGATAAGGAGCACTGTCAAAATAATAACATTCTAAAACAAAGAACATGATAAATGGATGAAGTAAATCTAAAAATTAAATACCTAAATATAAACAAATTATATTTTAATTTAAAACGTAATTTGATACTAAAAATCTAATAAATTACTAATTCTAAAAACTAGTTAATAATTTAGTAATAGTTATTACCTTCTTTTATTATAGTCCAATAATAAAATTTAAGTCGTACATAAAATTAAAGGCTCTGGGTGCATATAAATTGTTTTTTGAACCGCTCTGAATATTAATTGTAATTTTAAATACCAACATATTACTGTTACGAATAATATATTCAATCGTTAATGTTAATTACAATTACATCCTGCCAATACGATTGGAGGTTTTGGTAATGGGAACAGAATAGTATTGCTTGAAATGCTTAAAAATTTGACTTGCTTATTTTATGTGTTCTTGGGATTTCAAGTCATTTGGGATCGTTCAAGTATTTCTTCTGTAATGCCAAAAATATGAATTTATTTCTGAAATTTTAGAGTTATATTCTTGGCTAGTTTTGGAAGACATTTTTGCAAAAAAATCGCTTTTTTAAGGGGCACAACTAGTGTGAAATTTTCAAAAAATCAAATTTCAAATTGATATCTTAAATAGTTTTTGAGTCGCAGCCATTTAAAGAGTATTTATATAGTATATAGTTATAGTAGAGTATTTATATAGTATAAACGCGTTTTTCTCGAAACAGCATTTTTCGAATTTGCTGCAGCGAGATTACTCAAAAACAAATAATCCGATCACTATCAATTTTTTTTTACATGTTCTATATATAGTTCTCCGTAAAATGAACTATCGATTTTTTGATCGGATCAAAAATCGAATTTTGGCAGTCCAAAAACGACCAAAATTTTGGGTAAAATTCGACTTTTTTTAAAAAAACGCCGTCATTTTGTCAATTTTTGATTTTTTTTCTTTATCGTAGTTCATTTTACAGACAATATTATCTAGTTTAGCGAGATTTTTTTTTTAATTTCATCCACGTAGAAGGACGGAATCACTGCAGCAGTGAAGGGCCTTTTTTTGTCGCACCGTTGGAGATCGACGATAACTTAAAAAATATTTAATCTTTTTTTTCAAAAATTTCACTATGTATTCTTAAAACATGTATAAATATATTCCTAAAATTTTGAAATGATTGGTTAAGTAATTTTTTTAATATAAATTCCCAAAAATCACCTTTTTTTAGGCGGTTACACTAGTTGTGCCCCTTAAACCCTTTGAAAAATGCCAATTACATCTGATTTCATTATCCAAAATGTCGAATCAAATATTTTTTATATGTTGGCCTCTATTTATCAATTCACTAACTTAACTAATTTTTTAGTTAAAATGGCAACTACGGCGTCCGGAGATCTTTGGCTGCAATGGTTCACTTGCTGCGTAAATCCGGCGGCTTCGAGTTCTCCACCGGCGGTCGCTCGTCACAAGGCGGCCCAGCACCGGCGGCGCATCGACCGCGCTGCTATCGGGCCACCGACGAATTTCCAGCACACGGGGCACATTGGTTCCGGCTCTGAATTACTCAACGGAGCCCATTTGACGGCTGTGCAGAATCAAATGCAAGGAAAGGGGGGATATGGGGCGGCTTCCTTCGGACTCAAGGTGAGGAAGAGGATATTGATTGATTGTACAAATCATTAATATATATTTATATTTATACTACAGTAGAGCCTTGATTAACCGGACTAATTGTTGTCGATAGGCATTCGAATAATCGAAAATCCGGATAATCGAATGTGTAAAGAATAATGTTGTGTATTTATTAAGAATAACAAATACATACGTAGTAGGGATGGGTAACTCACTTCGGAGTTATCACTCCGATACAACTCCTCCCTCGGAGTAAATCCGAGTGGAGTTGTCTTACAGGATTCGTCATATCCGACTTCCCTAAACTGGTACTAAATCTGTTAACATGTACAGATATTTGCTTGAGATTTTTTACTAATACAAAAATTTGAGTTGAAAGAAGTGGTCTTTTTCTATATATATATATATATATATATATATATATATATATATATATATATATATATATATATTTGAGATGGGCTTATCATATCCGGATCCGAACCTTTGCTTCAGGGAGGAGTTATATCCGCTTAACAACTCCACAACTCCGACAACTTTGAAGCATAATACTTGGCACAAATGTGTTCTCTAGTGTGCTGTTAACATACCTAAGGATTTATTAAGACTTTGGAAATAGTTTACAAATAGTTCAAACATTTTTGTTCATTTTATTATAATAATTACTATTTTATGCGTTTCGTTTCATACAAATCTCAAATTGACAAAAAACTTAGGAATCAAAATGAATTTTGTAATTATTTTTGAAGAGAAAATATAGAATTCTTTGAATACGTTTACTTTTATATGAAAATAATGCAGTGAACCTTATATATGAAATAAGAACAAATCTTTGTGTATAATATTTTTCACAAAATAATAATACCTCACATTCTTTTATTATTTCATTTTCGAGAATTAATTATACATCGGGTATTTTGATTAGCATACTATTACTTTTACACAATTATAAAATCATAATTGTGTAAAAGTTATAAAATAATACTAAATATTTTTTACCTGGTTTGTATACCATTGAAAAAGCTCATTTACGGACAAACATTATCGTATACAGAATATAGAATACAAATAGCATTATTTTGAAATATTATATACCTGGAAAGTTCTAAAACTAGCTGTGAGACGAGAAAAAGACCACTTTTTTCGACCCAAATCTTTGTATTAGTAAAAAATCTCAAGCAAATATCTGCACATGTTAACAGATTTAGTATCAGTTTAGGGATGTCGAATATGACAAACCCTTTGAGACAACTCTACTCGGATTCACTCCGAGGGAGGAGTTGTATCGGAGTGATAACTCCGGAGTGAGTTACCCATCTCTAATATATATATATATATATATATATATATATATATATATATATATATATACATAAATCTATACACCTACATTTGCAAATTTACATCTTCACAAACACATTTTTATTTTTTAGCTTTTCATTTACATTTTACCTACTATGCCTACATTTACATTTTTACATATTAATCTGCTTTTACATTTTTTTGTTATTTTAAAATTTGCTTTGTTTGACTTAAATACATACATTGATTTTTACATAAAGATACAAATTGTATACACCTATTCTGGGAATATCATTAAACTATTATAATATAATATTGTTTGCATATACATATATATATATATATATATATATATATATATATATGCAAACAATATTATATATATATGCATTATATAACATTTATAATTTTACATCTACAACTATATTTGCATCTACATTTACATTTACTACATCCTACAAATGCAGTTATATTTAAATATAAATCAAAAGAAAAATGTCTTTATTGTACTAACATTGAATCTAACTCCGGGGACAGTCCCGGATTTTCACTTTTTGTCCCGGATTATTCTGAAAACAATATTTGTTCCGGATTTAGATGTTATGTCCCGGATTGTCTCGGGTTTCCAAAAAGTAGAGGCATAAATTGAATATTTATAATAATTGAATTTTACAATTCGTTATGAATGAGAAAATGCAAATTTTCAAAAGCCGATTAAAATAGCCCTTCACATTAATTTCATTCTCAATTTTACAAAAATTACCAAAAATTATGAAAACGAACTCTTTGAACAAGTGCTAATTTTTACTTAAGTTAATTATGAAGAAAAAATATATGATGTAATATAGCTAATAACAGAATAATGAAGTCCTACTAAAAGTCAGTTTTTCTGATTAAAAAATATATTATATTTAATGAAAATAAACTGATTTTCAATCATATTTTAGATATTGAGGACAATGCGCCTACCCGTTCCGGGCTTTGACTTTGAAAAGTATGGTCACCTTACTTTAAAAATCATTTCATTTATTATATTTACTTTATTTTAATTTAAATTTAAACAAAATTTATATATAATATTGGTATATAATCATGTGTTCTGTTAATTAGTGCTCTCATTTCTGTGTTATTTGTTTTGATTATTTGTATGAAGATGAGTTGAATCAAGACTGGAAACGTATGCTACTACAATAGACATTTTTTTTATTAAATTTTGATCAATCATTTTTGATCAAATCAATCATTTAGATTTTTTATGGTCTGTTGCAATTTTAATATCATGTCTTCAAATATTTATTATCATAATTAATAATTTTTTTTTTTTGTTCAGGCCTGTTAGCCGCCGTTTGCATGAATCCTTCTGGGCAGCATTTGTTATATTTAATTTGTTGAATGATAGAAAAGCGACGTCAATTTGTAAAAAAGATGAATACTATTTATTTGTGTTGTGAATAGTGTCTTAAGAACAGTATTACAAGGAAGAGGAGTATGTTATTGTCATATTGTTGATTTTATCAATCCTAACGTATTGTTTAATATTATTATTATTAAGAGTTTAGTTAAGGAGGATTAATAAGTGTAATAGTTTTATGCAGAATTTGGTTAGCATATTTAAAACTAAGTGTATATATTGATGTTACATTTAATTGTGTGATTGAGTGAATGAGAATTTTGTAAGGTATATTTGAGTTCTATATCTGCAAATACATCACATGAATAAATATTGCAATGCGAAAAAAATATTTTTTTAGAATATTTGTAATTGTAAATTAACAATATTATGTTTAGAAACTCCTGTGCCTCAAATATATGCCCGAGATGGATGAACGTTACTTTGTGAGATTAATAATAGTTTAAGCTAAATTTTGCAATATATTCAAGAACATTATTTATTATTCAGTAATATTCTTAGCATTTTTTCTACTCAAAATGACTGCAAAAGATGTGTCTTAGCTTTCTTTATTTATCCTTTAAAATATTTTCTTTATAGTGTGGTCGTTATTTTTATCCACATGCTATACTATTTTTAATTTATTTTAATGTTATTTATTTTTTACTTTTTGTTATTTTAATAGAAATATTTTCTGGCTGTGTTCTGATATGCATGTTTTATTTTGAATTTATTTTGTGTTAGAAATAAGCAAATAAATAAAATCAACTAATTCAATGTAAGCATTTCAGTCATAAATGGGCAACATACAAGCAAAATGTAAATAAATTTAGTAATCTGTATGCCTTACATGGGACTTAATATTCAATGAATTTTCAGTAATTAATGTTATAATATTAATCATAATTTTATTTTTTCCTCATCTGAAACGATAGATTGAACATTAGTTTGATTAAAAATATTTGTCATAATATAAAGTCTCATATACATTTTGTATTTCTAAAATAAAGCTTATCTTGTAATATAATTTTTATAAATATAATAAAAATAATTAATTATATAATAAACTATCTATAAACAAATAGTTTTGTTTTGCTAATTTTAAGTTCTTCACTTTTTTAAATGTTGATTTGAATGTACAAATACCTTTTCTAGTCAGTTATTATTCAGCAAATAACAACTGCAAACTTCGACAAAAAGCGAAAGCATTTTTTATAATTCATTCTATATCCCGTTATTAACTAGTAAATAATTAAGAGTTGTCATGATTTTAGAGAAATATCTGTATATATATATATATATATATATATATATATATATATATAAAGGTATATATATATATATACACCTTTAGATAAAATACAATTTTAATAACTTTATAATATACTTTCTATATATTTTTTAATTTAGCTAAATTATTGCTAATGATTTAATTTTTTTGCCTCTAATTATTAGCAAATATCAAATTATTAATCAAGAGAACAATGGTTCTTGTCTAAATTTTATCCCCTAGCACAAGGCTCCAATTTTAATTTTATTCAAAAAATTGTTTTTATGTATTTGAGAGAAAACTGAATTTTTTTTTCAGAGTTATTGAAAATTTCTCTCAATTCGCTAAACATAGCATAACATAATAAAAAATTACTTACCCTACGGGAAGTTAATAAAGAATGTTAGTATTTTACCCGTTGCAGTGTGTAAATTATAAATGTAATTTGTGTTAACTGCCTCTTTTATTTATATACCACCATTCAGAATTAGTTATTAATTTTTTATACTGGGTTAAAAAGGTTGCTTTTCCTTGTTCTAGACTCTATAAATTTTTATATAAAAAATTGTACATTTGAGTTCAAGAGTAATAAGAAATTTATATAGTTTATTTAACAAAGACAAGTTTGTACAAAAGTACATTTTGCGCACGTTAATCCAAGAAAATATCAAGCATACATATTGGTGAATCAATTGAATTGCTCACTATAACTATAGTTTTAAATGAATTCTTTATCGAATCAGGTTTATACTTACAATCTTTTTCATAATGAAAAATTAATTCCCTGTACCATCAAATACTTTTAAGCAAAATTGTTACTGAGTTGTAATTTATTGACTATTCATTGAAAATTAATATTGATCTGAACTAATGTAACTTTTATAAATATATTGTAATTTATAGGAATGTCTCGGAACTCATAATGTTTATTAATACCACTTTAATGCCAAAGAACAAGAAGGTGTCAATTGAAATATGTTACAAATAAATATTTTAAGTAAATGAAGGCAAATTAATGAATAAATATGAAATGATATAATGAATGCACATTAATGAATATATGCTTAAAATAGAACTCAGATATGATGAATGTTATGGCAATAAATTACTCAATGTTGAACTTACATAGATGTGATCTCATCTCATTTTGTCAGGTAAATTTCAAATATTTATTTTATATATTTGAATAATAGCCATCAATATTGTATATGTTTCATTTAATGATATAGTTCATTATTGAAATAATGTTGGTAATGATACTCCATTTTATTGTTTATTACTAAAGCTAAATTTGTTCCATTACAGGTGATTCTGAGACTGTAGAGCGGTGTATCTATCTGGATTTTCTGCGAACACTAGACAATCCTGATTCCTGAGTTCTGAATCTTACAATAGACAGCCTCCGACACACAATTTTGGAATACTACTTACTGTATATATTGCAGTTTCTCACAGACCCCTTGCACACTATGTTTGTTTATACAAACACCTCTTAATAAAATCAATTTAAAACAATTTGGTGACATCTATCAGATGCTACGAAGGACGAATAAGGAAGATAAAATATCTGAGCATGAATATTATAATAATGTGAAAAGCGAGTTGTTCTTGTACCTTTGGAAGCAGTGATATGACATTGTTAGGACTGCTTTTAGTTATATATGATGTTCTTTATATTAACTTTATCAATTGAAGTCCAGTATTTCTTGTAAAAGAAAATTTATAGAGTTTTTAATGAACTGTTTGGAAACAGATTATATAGATAGTTCAAGGTATATATATATATATATATATATATATATATATATATATATATATATATATATACATATACTACTATCCCCGGATTTATATATTGTTTTTCCATGGCAATAGTTTGTATGGAAATTGGATATATAAATGTATATAATTATTATGTATTATATATTGGATTATTATATTATATATATACCTTTATTATCATTAAATAATATATATTTAAAACATTGTGATTTTGCTAATTACATATGAGTATATTTGTAATATTTTGTAATTATATAAATAAATATTTAGGTAATTTAATTTGATTTTTGTTAAACATGGATGTGTAATTTATAGAATTTTTCAGGTTGGTTTTGGCAAATAATAATTAATAGCTCTATAATTAATTTTATTTACTTAATCATACATAAAGATCCATTTACATAAAGATGTATCCATTTTATTTTATATGATACTCATTAATTTATTCAAAAATCGTTTATTAATAATTCTTAAATTAATTTAAGTTTTTAAATTAATCTATTCAAAAATCCTATCCTTTTGCAATATTAGGGTAGCTGTCAAAATTTGAAATTACCGCTTCCTAATTTAAAAATATTAAATGCATGATTCAATATTATATATATTAATAATGGACACTAATTTTAATATGTTTATCCGTTAAAAATCCGTTAATATTTTGGGGAAATTTTTTGTAAGGAAAGTCACACTAAGGGTTTTAAATTGATTATCAAATTTAAATGGATTAGTTGTTCATATGTATGACATTAATATGTCAAAATGAATGTCATGTAAACGAATAATACTATTTAATTATTCAAATTATTCAAAAAAGCAAAATTATCGTTAACGAATAATATCTTCAAGTTTAGTGAACTACAAAGATGAAATTATATAGAAATGTATATTAAAATAATTTATTTAATAAAGGTAGTGTTATTATAAATAATGAAAGTGCAAATATATTACTTATATATTTTTGGCACTTAACAGTTTACAAACGTATTCTAGAGCTGCAGGTATATATAAAGATAAAATTTGGTCTATTCTATATTTCTTAATCAAAATAAGTAATCAAAACTGTTTCAATACGACCCTGAAAATGCATTTTTTGTCTAAGCTAAGATGTTCGGGATAACCTATAAAATTTATTGTCATTAGTTGTATAACTCTATTTTCTTTATTATTTAAAATTTCATCAAAGGCAATATGAGAAAATTTTTGTCAAAGCATGATTTTTTTATATAAACATATATATAATATATAAGACCAGATTGTAAGTATAGAGTAAACTTTATTCTTTATTAATTTATTCTATTTAATATTTAAAATAATATAGTTAAATGCTTTTAGTTTCAGACAGAGAGATCTCGACTTATAAATATATTGTAATTTGTAGGAATGCTTCGGAACTCATAATGTTTATTTATACCACTTTAATACCAAAGAAAAAGAAGGTGTCGATTGAAATATGTTACAAATAATTATTTTAAGTAAACGAAGGCAAATTAATGAATAAATATGAAATGATGTAATGAATGCACATTAATGAATATATGCTCAAAATAGAACTCAGATGTGATGAATATTATGGCAATAAATTACTCAATGTTGAGCTTACATAGATGTGATCTCATCTCATTTTGTCAGGTAAATTTCAAATAATTATTTTATATATTTGAATAATAGTCATCAATATTGTATATGTTTCATTTAATGATATAGTTCATTATTGAAATAATGTTGGTAATGATACTCCATTTTATTATTTATTACTAAAGCTAAATTTGTTCCATTACAGGAGATTCTGAGACTGTATTGCGATGTGGCTATCCAGATTTTCTGCGAACCCTGGACAATTCTGATCCTGAGTTCTGAATCTTACAATGGACAGCCTCCGACACATAATTTTGGAATACTACTAACTGTATTTCTTGCAGTTTCTCACAGACTTTATGCACACTTTGTTTGTTTATACAAACACCTCTTAATAAAATCAATTTGGTGAAATCTATCAGATGCTACAAAGGGCGAATAAGGAAGATAAAATATCTGAGCATGAATATTATAATAATGTGGAAAGTGAGTTGTTTTTGTACCTTTGGAAGTAGTGATATGACATTGCTAGGACTACTTTTAGTTATATATGATGTTCTTTATATTAACTTTATCAATTGAAGTCTAGTATTTATAGAGTTTTTAATAAACTGTTTGGAAATAGATTAGATAAATAATTCAAGGTATATATATATATATATATATATATATATATATATATATATATATATATATATATATATATATATATATATATATATATATATATGGCAAATTGTATGTATGTATTCTGAGTGGATAGATAGATATTAATTTAGAAATATGAAATAACAACACTTTATCAATTGAAGTCTAGAATTTTTAGAGTTTTTAATAAACTGTTTGGAAATAGATCAGATAGATAGTTCAAGGTATATATATATATATATATATATATATATATATTAATATACAAGGTATATATATATATATATACACCTTGAATTATCTATCTAATCTATTTCCAAACAGTTTATTAAAAACTCTATAAATACTAGACTTCAATTTGTCGTGTTATAATTTAAAATTTTTAAAATACGGAAACTTAAATTAGCATTATATGTGTTATCCTTTACAAGTCATTCAATATACATATATATATATATATATATATATATATATATATACTACTATCCCCGGATTTATATATTGTTTTTTCCATCATTATATATGGTCTAGCTGCTGTATAGTTTGTATGAAAATTGGATATATAAATGTATATATTGAATTGTACATTATTAGACTTAAAAAATCCATGCAGTATAATGAAATTAGATATATAAATGTATATAATTATTATGTATTATATATTGGATTATTATATTATCATTGAATAATATATATTTAAAACATTGTGATTTTGTTAATTACATATATGAGTATATTTGTAATATTTTGTAATTATATAAATAAATATTTAGGTAATTTAATTTGATTTTTGTTAAACATGGATGTGTAATTTATAGAATTTTTCAGGTTGCTTTTGGCAAACAATAATTAATAGCTCTATAATTAATTTCATTTAATTAATGACAATCATACATAAAGATTCATTTGCATAAAGATATATCCATTTTATTTTATATGATATTTAATAATTTATTCAAAAATCGATTATTAATGATTTTTTAAATTATTTTATTCAAAAATACTATCCTTTCACAATGATAGGAAGAGCCGACATCGAAAGATCGAAAATCTTCATAGTTTTCTACGTCTGTAATCGATTCGAAGTATCAGGAGAGCTGACACGATCAGAATATATATATGAAAGTATAATACTATTCGCTCGAACAATAGAACTTCATAGAAATTAGTGGATTTTTATATTAATAATTCATAATTTACATATTTATTTAATTCTACATATAATGTTTAAAATGCGGCCCTGATTTGTTCGTAAATGACGTCCTGCTCTCTGATTGGTCGTCTCCTTTTGACAGCTCCAAGTGTATGAATGACGGACAATTATCGTTAAGGTGCATCCACACTTAACGAACGAACACGATCGAACATGATGAAAAATATGCGCAGACTAAAAATTCCAAACAAAAGCGAACCAGACGCCATGTTCGTTCGTGCTCGTTCGCTAGGTGTGGGCGCATCTTTACTGACTACTCAGTGCATGATTGTGATGTTGTGATATAATTATTTAAAATTAGATCATTTTTTAATTCATTACTATAACGAATTTAAATAATGTCAAAGTAAACTTATTTGTTTCTGATCAGCTGTGTCGAGAAAGGCTTTATGATTCAAAAGTCAAGATGTTATATTTATAAACAAATATGTCATTAAAAGTCATAATAATCCAATTAATAAAAATATCCAGTAAGTACAGATTAATTCTTATTATTGTATTACAAATTTAAATCATGGTTGCAATGATTTAATTCTTTAATAAAAATTAATACTTGTTGCAAATTGCTATAATGTTATTTCAAATGCTTTTCCTTGGAATTAATCTATATTCTCAGGTGCTCGTAACTACAAAAATTAAATTAACTACAAACATACAAAAATTATATCAAATATATGATTGATGAATTATGTAAAGGTACACCATCTTGTACTTTTTAACCGTCTTAACAAACTTATAGTAAACAGAAAAACGAGGACGATGAATAGAAGCTCACATCTTTGAGTAAGTTTTGCAACATTTTATACACAATATTATATATTGTTTTCTCTTGCTAAAGATCATGAAATAATTGTTTGTTGAGTACTGTTACTGAGATTTATTTCATTTACATAAAAAATTAATCATCCAACTATGATTATCCAATTATATTTTCCAATGAATTAAACAATTTACGCTAGTATATTAAACTTCTGTTTTCTTCAAATGAATTGAGCTCAAAAATAATAAAAAAAATTATATAGTTTATGTAACAAACACAAGTTTCTACAAAAGTATATTTTGCTCACAATAATCTAAGAAAATATCAATACTAATATAGTGGTATTTTAGGTGAAGGTAGTTTAATCATATAAATTGTTTACATTATGTGTAGTGGTTTGGACTCCAGTTGCAAGTATACAAACTTTGAAGGAAGATAATTGCTCAGGAAGTTAACAGACTTATTTTTGTACTTCGGGGACAGTGAGATATATATTAATGGAAGAATGTATTTAGACGGAGTATGACACTTTTATTAAAGGTTACAATTACCTTAAACAGTACCAAGTCTAAATTTCCAAATGATATGATCTTTAAAAATATAAATATAGGTAACTATATAATTATTTATATGAATTATATGACGAGAATGAAGAATAAAAATCATATTAAAAATAATGGAGCCTTCGGGCTTTCAAATATATTTGTAACAATCTTGTGCAAGCATGATTTTTTTATATAAACATTTTTGTATATAAATATATAATATAAAAGACCAGATTGTAACCATATATCTTCTTGCCTTATTAAGAAATTCATTTTCTTATATTTAATGTTTAAAATAATACAGTTAAATGCTTTTAGCTTCAGGCAGAATGATCTGAACTAGTGTGACTTTTATAATTATATTGTAATTTATAGGAATGTTTCGGAAATCATATTGTTTATTTATTCCTCTTTACTGCCAAAGAACAAGCAGGTAACAATTAAAATATGTTAACAAATAAGTATTTCAAGTAAATGACAGCAAATTGATGAATAAATATGAAATGATGTGTGGAATGCAAATTGTTGAATAACGGTTTATGATAGAACTTGGATTTGATAACTAATATGGCAATAATTTACTCAATGTTGAACTTACATAGATCTGATCTCATCTGATCTCGTCAGGTAAATTTCAAACATTTATTTTAAATATTTGATTAACATTGTTGCATGTTTCATTTAATGATGTAGTTCATTATTTAATTAATGTTGATAATGATACTCCATTTTATTATTTATTACTAAAGCTAAATTTGTTCCATTACAAGAGATTCTGAGACTGTATAGCGATGTGGCTATCCAGATTTTTTACGAACCCTAAACAATTCTGATCCTGAGTTCTGAATCTTACAATGGACAGCCTCCAACATGATTTTAGAATACTACTAACTGGACTTCTTACAGTTTCTCACAGACTTCATGCACATTTTGTCTGTTTACACAAACACCTTTTGATAAAATCAATTTAAAACGATTTGGTGACGTGTATCAAATGCTATGAAGGACTAATAAGGAATATAAAATATCTGAGCATGAATATTATAATAATGTGGAAAGCAAGTTGTTCTTGTACCTTTGAGAAGCAGTGATATGACATTGTTAGAACTACTTTTATTATATATGATGTTCTTTATATTAACTTTATATCAATTGAAGTCCAGTATTTCTTGTTAATGAAATTTATAGAGTTTTTAATGAACTGTTTGAAAATAGATTTGATAGATAGTTCAAGGTATATATATATGCCAAGTTGAATCCATGGACTACTATCCACGGATTTATATATTGTTTTTTCTATCATTATATATGGACTAGCTGCCTTAGTTTGTATGGGAAATGGATGTATAATTATTATAATTAAATAATATATATTTAAAACATTGTGATTTTGCTAATTACATATGAGTATATTTGTTTTATTTTGTAATTATATAAATAAATATTTAAGTAATTTAATTTGATTTTTTTTTAAACATGGATGTGTAATTTATTGAATTTTTCAGGTCGCTTTTGCCAAACAATAATAAATAAACATAAATAATTTGACAAACAATAATTAATTATATTTACTTAATTACAATCATACATAAAGATGATATACCATTTTATTTTATATCATACTCTTTAATTTATTCAAAAATCGCGCCGTTCACAGCATGCTCAGAATATATATAACCAGTCTATATAAATATATGTTCATGCTCTAAGTATGTTCAATTTTTATTGTACATATTTTTAAAATATGTCAACAGTCTGTGTTGCCTGGACTTGGTTGAACAAGTTTCTTTATAATAATAATAAATGTACAAGTCATAAATTTAAATAGATTTAAAGTTGAAGTGTGTTTATTGTGAAAATATGATTTAGGTAAGTACAAAATAATGTTTTATATTTTAATTTTAAGGCAAAGTGGTTCATGTTTATGTATTTCTAAATATTTTGGCAAACTGTTGGGCATAATTCTAAACAAATATTTGTTTCAACACATTATGATATTCATTCAAGTCTAAAACGGGTCTAAAACAATGAGATTAATACATGAATTTGTTTCTTTAAACGTCAAAAGTGAATTAGATTGTCAAACGTCAAAATTGACAGTTGTTTTCGTTTGAAAATGTCTGTTGTGACAGGTTTATTCTACAAATGTGTTAATTATTAAATATTTTATTTGAGAATAAAACCACAAAAACTTTGTAAAAAAATCCGTGGATAGATATCTTTAAATTAATCAAGTAGAACAGGTCGCATTTAGTTCATTTTTTCTTACTTTTTCAAACTACTCAAAGTCAGAAATATTTCAAAAGAGGAAAATACTTGTTTTCATTATTCAAACAAAAGGTGTGTTTTTTATACAAGGAAATACATTTTTGAATGTTTTCTTTGAAAACAAATATTTGTGTATTAATTGTCGTGTTAATAATATTTATTAAAAGTGCAGTTGTTATCAATATTTCAATATTTACATCATAAAAGGGTCCAAATTCTTAAATACTCTTTGTAAATATATATATTTTTTGAAACATAAGTGCCATTTTCAATTAAATTAATTAATTAATTATTGGCACAAAATTAAATTACCAACATTTTTTTTTAATACTGGAATACTTTAAAATATCATTCAAAAGTAGAATAATGATTTTAGCGACCTAACAGTATAATTATTCCGTTTAAGATTTATGAATCATTAACCATATTGAATTCATGGACTACTATCCGGATTTTATCAAACAAATTTTATTCAATTGCATTCAATATGCGAGTTTGGGACATTTTTTTACATTTTGTCAAATGATTTTTCTAGAATTCAATGTATATTGTTATATTCACTTTTATATTAAAATTTTGAATAATTTGTAGTTGAAGCGCAGATTTGAATTTGATAATTGGCTATAAGTGGATTTTGGATGTTTTTTTACATTTTGTGAAATAACTTTAAAACTATGTTCAGAACATGTTTATTTGTTTATACTAGTATAAACTAGATGAAATTTACTAACAAATAGTATAAATTGTGTTATATACTTGCATATCAAAATTTTGAACAATTTTCAGTTGAAACACAAATTTAAACGTAATATGTAGATGGACTTTTTTTACTTTTCTTCAAATAACTTTTAATTTTCTTTTCGGGCGCGTTAATTTGTTTACATTAGTTACTACATTACATTACTATATCAAATTTACTAGAATTTAGTACAAACTAGTACATATAGTTGGATACTAAAATTTCGTATAATTTTTAACTGGAACGCAAATTTGTGTCTGTGTACATTTTATCAAACAACTTGAAAAATTTGTTCTGGGCATTTTAATTAATTTATATTAGTGAAAAATAGATAAAATTGAGATTTATGAATCATAAACCTATGCTTTGTTATAACTACAGTAATGATATCAAATTATTCGATTATAATAAATGATTTATTTGAAGTTGAATCCATGAATACTATCCATGGATTGTTTTAAGAGCTTTTTTTTAAACTCGATTAACATAAATTATGTACTTACCTACAAATTATTCGAATGTTTTTATTTTTTCACTAAGTTTTTGTGTATTGAATATTTGATTTTCAAATAAAATATTCTAAGCTTACTTATTGTTACTGGTCTGGTATTTAGTAACAAATAATCTTATTTTAAATGTACATCCATAAAATAAATATTTATTCTTATTACAGGTACTTATGCACTTATAGGAACAGGAACCATAAAATCTGGGTCTCCCCTATACTAAAAAAAATTTATGATCAAGAACTTATTGGACAAAATTTTTGGATAATTTTTTATTACGCCAAAGACGAAATTATCCTGTTTGATGAGCTTTCAGGGTGTGTTCCACTTGAAAACAACAAAAACTTTGGTTGCAACATCGGAATTTTAGCACAAAAATAGATTTGTTTTCGCAATTTTGGAAATATTTTGACTGATTCCAAAAGATTTTTGGACGCTGATTTCAAAAATGCTATCTAGTTTTGGATAAACCCACATACACGCCGCAAAAAATCGAAATCTTTGGTTGCAAAATCGATTTTTTTAAAAAAAAATCGGTTTTTTTTCGCGATTTTCAAAATGTTTTGATTGGTTTTGATTGATTTTGGGACGCTGATTTTGAAAATATTATCCGTTTTTGGATAAACCCACATACAGCCCCTGAAAAATCGAAATCTTTGGTTGCAAAATCAAAATTTTACTAATGAAATGAATTTTTTTTTCGCAATTTTCAAAATGTTTTGACCGATTCTGATAGTTTTCGAGGCGCTGATACCGAATGTGGAATCAGTTTTTGGAAAAAAAAAATCTTCTGCCCTTGGTACCAAATTGAAGTTTGAAAAATTGCCAACTTTGAAGCTGATTTTAACTATGAAGACGATGATAAATTTGTATTTTTTTGGGTTTGGTATAAAGATTGTACTTTAGTCTACACAAAGCATTAATTAAAATTATTAATTTCATTCATTAAGTGCCTTAAAATTGCATTTGAAAGTCACGATTTTGGCCAATTTTGGCTGCTCCTGATAGACTGTTAATTCATCGGAAAAATAATAAGATTTTGAAATTACACCAAAGTAGGTTTGGTTTACTGCTAACCAGGCGTGAATATGAATTTATTAAAAATTATCTTTCTCTTATTATTTCTTATCTTTTATATATTTATATATTTATTATATATATATATATATATATATATATATATATATATATACATTTATATTTATATATATGCACATGTATATTATGTCAATTTTTGTAATACTGGCAGCACTCAATAAATTTAATTATTTATCTATATATCTTATTTATTTACACAGTTAGAAAAATTATTGAATTTAATTTTTTTTCAGATAAATGGGTTCGATCTAGCGAACCTCGAATTATTATTCTGTCCTAAACCGACCGTATCTTTACGACCTCGGCCATTCGCACAATTGGCACACAACTTTTTTAGGAAGCTTATATCTTTCATTATCAAAATAAGACTTTATATTTTTGCAAATAGAGGAGGGTTCTTTATAACCAATTGGCCGAGATCGTTAAGTTGCCACTACGGTTGCTCATTGTTTCTCGGTTCAAATCCCCAAGATGTTTGAAAATTCGAATGTATAGTTTTTCATAAATATCAAATATTAGTTCAAAATATTAAATTCAGGTGTCGCATTTCGACCTTGACACTTAGTGAATTTCTGAAAAACTCAAGTTTCGCACTTGACTGTAAGAGAGATACATAAAGATAAAAAAAAAAAAGTAGAGGAAGAACTGGGGAAAGAGAGGGGTAGAGGCAGATGATGAATAAGAGAGATGTGTATGATACATATTCTTTATTAAAATTCAATATTAATACAATATAGGAATAAAAATAACTTTTATCATCAATAACTTAAATAGCCGAGCGGTTTAAATGACCGCATACTCGGTGAAATCGCTCTGGAGGCAGGCACAAGGTGAGACGGATCGAATCCAGCTGAAGGCGACGACGACCAACACGGAAGCAGAAAAAATGGAACAGTGCTGGTGGCTGGCTGTTGGCGAGCGCAAAGGGTCCTGAAACGAACACACCAAGTGATGGTCAACCTGAGGTCCATGGTGCGAGAGGTTACACGCAGGGAGACACATTGCGGAAGATGCATGCCGGATCCAAAAATCTACCGAAAAACCACAACATGAAAAAAAATGAAAAAAAATGAAAAAAAATGAAAAAAAATGAAAAAAAAAGGAAAAAAATGGGAGAAGAAGGGGAAGGAGGAGGGGCAGGGGAGGTGGAGGAACCTAAAAAAACCCCCCTAAGTCCCAGATGAATTTTTCTCTTTTCTGTTCAATGCTGAAACTTTTTTATGTTTTTTAGTGTTCCCTCACACCAATTCCCAAAGCCAACACTCGAATGAAATGAGGTCAACGTTGAAATTTTCACAACGAGAAAAAATTACTGGGACTTAGTTAAAATTTTTTAACTTTGTCCCAATAAAATTTTCTCGTTGTGAAATATTCAATGTGAGCCTCATTCATTCGAATGTTGGCTTTGGGATAATACAGCATGCATAAATAACTCGTCTGTCTTAATTGAAAAGGTTTCAGAAAATTTGGACTTAGAAAAAAAAATTATCTGAAAGAACTTAGAAAATAAAAATTATTCGAAAGAATTATAATCAGAAAATTTGGACTTAGAAAAAAAAAAATATCTGAAAGGACTTAAAAAAAAAAATTATTCGAAAGAATTATGATCAAAAAATTTGGACTTATAAAAAAAAAAAATTATTCGAGAGAATTATTTAATTAATCGATGAAATGAAATCATATTAACCGAATTAAAATCGTTTATACGACTTGATAAAATATGTGAAACGTTTACAATTAATCGAGACAAAAAATATAGCTGACTTGAATAATATACAAATTATTGGAAAAAGCCAAAAAAGAAATTTGATAAAACTTGTAAAATGAAATAATAAAAAATATTCAAATGTAAACATTAACTACTTTAAAACTGTTTAAATCTGATTGTTATCCTATAGAAATTGAGTTAAATAATTTTTACAACTTGATTCGAATAATAATCTTGTAAACAAAATTATGTTTTGTCTAATCATTCAAGTCAACTCTTTGAAACTTTGATTGCTAACACTCGAATGAAATGAGGTCCACGTTGAAATTTTCACAATGAGAAAAAATTACTGGGACTTGCCCCAATAAAATTTTCTCGTTATGAAATATTCAATGTGGTTCTCATTCATTCGAGTGTTGGCTTTGGGATAACATAGCATGCAAAATTAACTCGTCTGTCTTAATCGAAAAGGTTTCAAAAAATTTGAACTTAGAAAAAAAATGATCTGAAAGGACTTAGAAAAAAAAATTATTCGAAAGAATTATTTAATTAATCGATGAAATGAAGTGATATTAATCAAATCAAAATTGTTTATATGACTTGATAAAACATGTGAAACCTTTACAATTAATCACAAACGTAGTAACAAATGTAGTTGACTTGAATAATATACAAATTATTGGAAAAAGCTATAAAAGAAATTCAATAAAAGATGTGAAATGAAATAATAAAAAATATTCAAATGTGAACATTAAAAACTTCAAGACTGTTTAAATCTGATTATTATCCTTTAGAAATTGAGTTAAATAATTTTTACAACTTGAATCGAATAATAAACTTGTTAACAAAATTATGTTTTGTCTAATCATTCAAGTCAACTCTTTGAAACTTTGATTGCATGTCTTGATCAAAATTGTTTTTATCAATAAAAGAATAAAAATCTATTATTTAGCTATGCAGCAATATAATTGAATAAATTTAAAATTAAACTACAGTAAAAGACTTTTAAAAGCTGCATTTAATTAACAATTTGTTATGTCGTATTTGAGTATTTGAAATAATTTGATCAAAACCAACAATCGTGTTATCCATAAATAAGAATGTTCATGCAGACAATGTCGCTACAGGAAAAACACATGATTCTTGATACTGGAAATGTCAAATACAAATACAAATATTTTTTCTGTATAATAATGAACAAATTGTGTGATAAAAAAGAGATTTTTGTAACAAAGTAAATTTGTAATTTGCAACAAAATACCATCAATTTAGGAGTTACCTAAGGAAGGTTGCTAGGACCCCTCCAACAAATAAGTAATCGATGCTTATAAAAAGCTGTATTAATTAACTAATAATTTGGTAACAAAAATTTAATATACATATAAAAATTCTGGATTCCATATAAAATCAATTCATAGTGTTATTTATAGAGCAAGAGAATCTCTGGTGGAATATTATTATGGAATTGTAATAATATAAATTACTTTCAGCGTCTTTGATACATAAGAGAAATAGAAACTTTTTTCTTTTATATATATTTAAAACAAGTATAAAATGCACTTGAATAAATAAATAAAAAATCTGAATCAACATGTTTTCCCCATAACAAATTAAATAAGAACCTAGTTTTTCATACATATGTCTGCCAAATAAATTTAAAATCTTTTATTTGCAAAATAGTTGTAGTTGAATAAACAAAAGATAAATTGTATTTTATGCATTAAAGATTAATAAAGTATACCTTATTAAGAAAATGATATTGACTCAAATATTATAATATAAACAATATTTTCAGCAGATATATGTATATAACTATATTAATAATGCACAAGCCAAAAAATATTCCACTAAAATATATACAAGCTGCTTTATAAATGATATCGTATAACAAAGAAACAAGTTCTCAAAGCACCTTTCAATTAATTTCATTTAATATGAAAAACTAGCATAAAATATTATTATTGAGAAATATTATTATGACAAGCATAAAAGTAGCATGTAATACAAAATCGGTCAGTAGTACTAAACCCTTTTCAGGAAATAAATTATAAGTAATATTTTTTTATTCATTAGTATTCAAATTATAGTTTCACTGAAGATGACAAACAATATTGTGTCGAACATCAAAGATTTTCATAATTATTTGATTCTTGTTTGAATTCAAAATTAAGCTAAATATTAAATAAATAAATAGTACGTTAAATGCCTGTATATAATATCAGAAATATATTCTTTGCCTCGCTTTATATAAAACATGCTCTGCACTTACATTGTTATAAATCCTCTACAGCATCTGCCAGAAATCTCAAGTACTCGACACAAAATCACTACTTTAAAACCACTACATAACTTTGTCTTTTACAAGTCTATTTGACATTTTACAATTGTCCGAGTAAATTCTCTACGAAACACGCAAGACACGACTTACATTAGAGACTTTTGTGAACTTAAAATTGAATAAATAGATATGTGGAAATGTGCTACCATAACCTACAAAAGTATACACATTCATATATAAATTATACAATTGCTAATTGCATATATATAGATAAAGGATACATTAGCACTGAAAGTAAAAGGTTTAATTATAATATTGATTCGAAATGGGGGTCCTGAAAGAGATAACTATTACTATTCAAGGTACACATATGCATTTCCACACATATCCATTTTTTTAACTTTTTACAAATGTTGCACGATATATTTTGTATGTCAGATTGATCTACAGATTTAATTAAACGATTTTATGCATAATTTAATTAAAACTAATCAAGGATTTAATTAAAAACTCTTAATTAACGCGAGATTAAGATCATTCACAAAAATCTCTTGACATTTGAAGCAATTGAAGTTAGTAAATTGACCGCTGCCCCAATCTTGTACAATTTAAAGCGCGAAATTCAAACAGAAAATTTAATCTGCAAAAATTATGAAGTATTGTTATATAAAGTTATATTGTTCAGAATGAATAAATTAGCTTGAAAATATATTTTTTTCCAGTTAAAATTGTTTATGAAATTATTCTAGCTCATTAATAAATATTTTATTTCAATTTCATACTTAAAACGAGCTGAAAATATAAATTATATACCATAAGCTTTTACAATACAATAATAATTTATGCAGTTATCGAAGACTCAAATACAATTTTAATTGCCAGAACATAATTATTACTAATCAAATTAATAAACATTAACTTGATTACTATCAATTACATTTTAAATCTAAATAAATAAATGGACATATATTGCATTGCATAGCACATCATTCTATAAAGGCCATTTACATGAACTACTTGACTTGATTTAATAAAAAGAAAATACAAAGAATATCATATGTAACTAAAGCTAATTTTTAAACATTTACACTGTCGTTTCACTTCTTCTCAGAGATACAAAGGCAACTTGCTTTTTACATCATTATAATATTCATTCTCAGATGTTTCATCTTCCTTATTACTTATTCAAGATGACGACAGATTGTTTCAAATCTATTTTATCAATAGGTGTGAAACTGTAATGATTTAACTGTAAAAGTTCCAGTTAAAGGTACTCCTAAAGTCTGATATGGAAGTGGTCCACTGCAAGGATTAAACTTAAAAGATACTGAGGATGATGGCATGGGTAAAAAATTTGGAATCTCCTATAATGGTATTAGTACTAGAAATATTATTGCTGGCACAAACAACTTTAATTTGCCTTAAAACATATTTATCAAAATATAATTAAAATGTATTTAAAACTTAAACTTGTTTAATTGTGATCATATGACAATAAAGCTATTTCACCTCTAAGAATAATTAATTATTTGCTCCATTTGCGACATTTTAGCGAACTCATTATGCTCTGTATTAAGTGTAGAATTTGATAATTCAAAAAGAAGCCAGCATCATTAGCCTGTTAATCCAGAAATAGCAGCTTCAAAAACTTGCTAACATCATTACAAAATCTTAAGTTTATTGCTACATATTATATAATATTTATTGCTATGTATTATATTGATCATCACAACTTTAAGTTGTATAAAAACTTCTGTTGTAAGTTTCAAACAGTTGATAAAAAATTATATAAAGTAATCTACAAGAAATACTTTTGATAAAAAGTCAATATAAAGAAAATCATACATAGCTAAAGCTAAGTTTCAACTATTGACACGGACATTTCATTTCTTCCCAAAGGTACAAAGGCAATTTGCTTTCTATATCATTATAATGTTCATGCTCAGATATTTCATCTTCGTTAATTGTGCTTCATAGGTTAGTTCCAGTTAAAGGTACTCCTATAGTATGCGTTGGAGGCGATCCATCGTAAGTTCTTAACACAGAAAATGCACAGCATTATCCATTGCAGACACAAAAAATCTGGATAGACACATCGTTCTGGATTCTTGGAAATTCCTATAATGGAAATATTTTAGTTGTAATAATGAATAATGATATGTTACATTACTAGCAAAATCAATTACATAATAAACTATATGATAAAAAAAATTCTTATTTTTGGCAGTAAAGTTCATATAAATACTTTATTATTATAAAAAATTATATTAATTCAGATCATTCACTATCAAATTAATTAAATTCTTGTAATTACACTGTTTTAAATATTAAATATTCAAAGAATAAATTTATTTTTATAATGTTAATTGAGTAAAATATTAAATATTTTACATTTGCCTTTTGTTTATTGTATAAATGTATTTAAAACCTTGAAGTTTTCTTATCTTATAATTCTTCATTCTCATTTTGTAGTACATGCACAAAATTATAGTTACCTATATTTATATTATTAAAGACATCATCATTTGGAAATCAGCGTAAATGCATACTTCTACTAATATATGTACCAGACTTGTCTCGTTATCTCTGAAGTACAGGGACAATCCTGTTACCATCCTGAACAATTATTTTTCTCCGAAGTATGTATAACTTGCAACAGTGAAAGAATCCATAACACTATAAAATAGAAATTCAGTTAAATTATTGTTAATAATTAAATACTTGTTTGTGAAACATACATATTATATGCACTATATAAAGTTCTTATTATTTTTAAACTCAAACTAAACTGATGTTTAATATACTGGCATTACTAGTTTGATTTACCATGTCATTGTATTCTATTTACACATTTTCTTGGAATTTCCTATAATAGAAATATTTGAGTTGTAATAATGAATAATGAAATGTTATATTACTAGCAAAATTAATTAAATAATGAACTATATCATATGAAAAAGTATCATCATACGAAAGTATGAGTCAAAACATTCTTATTTTTAACAGTAAAGTTTCTATGAATTACTTTATTGTTATAAAAAATTATATTAATTCAGATCATTCAGTATTAAATTACTTAAATGCTTGTAATTATACTATTTTAAATATTAAATATTTAAAGAATAAATTTATTTTTGTAATGTGTTAATTGAGTAAAATATTAAATATTTTACATTTGCTTTTTGTTTATGAAGTTACATATATATTCCTTTCTTAGTTTTGCGATTTATCTATTGTATTTGTAGATATCATGAGGTAAAATATATGGTTACTATCTGGTCTTTCATCTGCATGTGATGAAAAATGTTAACGTCTCCACAAGATTGTATAAATGTATTTAGAGGCTTGAAGTTTTCTTATCTTATAATATAATTCTTCATTCTCATTTTGTAGTACATGCACAAAATTATAGTTACCTATATTTATATTTTTAAAGACATCATCATTTGGAAATCAGCATAAATGCATACTTCTATTAATATTTGTATCAGACTTGTCCCGTTATCTCTGAAGTACAGGAACAATCCTGTTACCATCCCGAACAATCATTATTCTCCAAAGTATGTATACTTGCAACAGTGCAAGAATCCATAACACTATAAAATAGAAATTCAGTGAAATTATTGTTATTAATTAAATACTTATTTGTGAAATGTACATATTATATGCACTATATAAAGTTCTTATTATTTTTAAACTCAATTCATTCAAAAAGCATTGTCATAGTAGAAACTAGTATGTATATTATTCGAAGCACATCAATAATTATCAATTCATTGACAATTAATTAAAACTCAGTAATGCTTTTGCTTCAAAGTACTTTTGATAGAACAAAGAATTCATTTTTCATTATAAGTATAAATCTGATTCAATAAAGAATTTATCTATAGAATGACTTACAGTGAATTCACTCATTTCATTTGATTCAATTACATTCACATGAAATTCTAATAGGTTTATGTGGTAATTTTTTCTTAGATTATTGTGAGCCAAATGTACTTTTGTACAGAATTGTGTTTCTTAAATAAAATATAAGCATTTCATTTTTTTGGCTCAATTCATTAAAAAATATTTGGCGTTTTATGTAACTACAACTGAAGTTTAATATACTGGCTTTACTACTTTGATTTATCATTTTATTCTATACTATTATCACAATATATAATATATAATAGCCACATGACACTTCATTTGAAATATAATAATCATAATGATAATCAATTTGTACTTACATTAAGGTTATTTGAATTCGTAATAGTCACACCATACATTGTGCACGAATAATATTGCACTTTCATATATATATTCTGACGTTTCTGCTCTCCTAATACTTCGAAGCGATTACAGGAGCATTTTCGTAAGAAGTAACGAGAATTGTCCGCCATTTATATATTTGGAGCTGTCAAAACGAGGCAACCAATCAGAAAGCAGGACTACATTTAACAAGAAACCAGGACCACATTTTGAACATATTTATATGTTGAATAAAACAAATATGTAAATTCTTTTAAAAAGTCGGAAAAACACGTTATTATAAAAATTGCACTGATTATAATATTACTAATAAATGTAATTTCACTTTAAAATATACTATGTGTCTAATTTATAAAAGTTAATAACAAAATAAATTTTATTTTATATTATTTAACTAATTATAAAGAAACGGCTCGGCCGATCTTTACCAAAAACTGAGAACTATGATTCCCCAAAAATATCTTTCAAATAGTTCATTAATTTTTAAATTCGATTTAAGGATTTTATAAAAAACGTGGGCAAAATTTTTGCACATTTACACTAATTTTAAAGAAACGGCTTGACCGATCGTCGCAAAAAATTAATCGGGTAGAGTGCTCATGAAACCACATCCGATGCTTTTTAAATTTTCAAAATCGGTACAGCCGTTCTTCTGGAAACGTTGATAAAAAGTCGAAAATTGTAGTACGCACACACAAATAACTAAATTTTGCAATTATCAGCTACATTATGCACATTTACTTCTTTTTTCAATGCTTATACAATAATATTAATGTTAAAGAACCATTCCCAACACAAAAACCTATCACAATATCCCAAAACAATAAATTGCATTTTTAATTTTAAAAATAATTACCCCTAACATTTCAGCAGCCGGCCCTGTGAAATACGAGCGAAATTTGATTGAAAAATGTGTCTGCTACCCTAATAGATCGGCCGAAAAATTCGTATGGAAATGTATGAATTGTATGAAGCGTACGCGAGTTCGATAGGTCGCGCGTATAGTACTATACTTTCATATATATACTCGGAGCGCGTCTGTTCTCCTGATACTTCGCAACGATTACAGACCCAGTTTACTATGAAGATTTACGGTCTTTCGATGTCGGCTCTTCCTATCATTGCGAAAGGATAGAATTTTTGAATAAATTAATTTAAAAACTTAAATTAATTTGAAAAATTATTATTAATAAATGATTTTTGAATAAATTAATGAGTATCATATAAAATAAAATAGATATATCTTTACGTAAATGGATTTTTATGTATTATTATAATTAAGTAAATAACAGTAATTATAGGGCTATTAATTATTGATTGGCAAATTATTTATACTTATTTATTATTGTTTGGCAAAAGCGACCTGAAAAATTCAATAAATTACACATCCATGTTTAAAAAAAATACAAATTAAATTACTTAAATTACTTAAATATACCAATGGTATATAAATAACTACCACCACATCCATGTTTTAAAAAAAGAATCAAATTAATTTACTTAAATATTTATTTATATAATTCTAAAATATTACAAATATACTCATATGTATAATTAGCAATATCACAATGTTTTAAATATACTTCTTAATGATAATAATATAATAATTCAATATATGATACACAGTAATTATATATATTTATATATCTAATTTCATTCTTACTGTACGGAGTTTTTAAGTTTAATAATATACAATTCAATATCTAAATTTATATATCTAATTATATAATTATACAAACTAAAGCAGCTAGTCCATCTTTAATGATGGAAAAAACAATATGTAAATCCGTGGATAGGAAAATGGATATATAAATGTATATATTGATATTCCTCGAAAATCTGGACCATAATTATATATCTAATAGCGTATAAAGCGATATATAAATGTATACATTGGTATTTCTCCTAAGCCATCATTATATATAAAAGCGTATAAAGGAATCCAATAAGATTTCTAGATTCATAGAGGCGATTGCATGCAGCGCCTCTATGTGAAATCGTTCCCAGTTCGTGAGGAACTAACGTGAAACGTTTGACAGTTCTTGTGTGAAAAGGAATCCAATAAGATTCCTGAGCAATCACCGTAGGAGCCGACATAGCTTTTTGCTCTTTCGATGTCGGCTCTTCCTATCCATGGATTCAACTTGACGTTAGTCTCTCACGAACTGGGAACGATTTAGAAACTTAGGAATCTTATTGGATTCCTTCTTACTCAATCGTTTGACATTAGTTCCTCACGAACTGGGAACAATTTTGCATAGAGGCGCTGCAAGCAATCACCGTAGGAGCTTAAGAATCTTATTGGAATCCTTTTCACGCAAGAACTGTCAAACGTTTGACGTTAGTTCCTCACGAACTGGGAACGATTTTGCATAGAGGCGCTGCACTCTTCATAGAGTTTGGCGGGATATTTAAATGTGTCTTTACGTTCCAAGAAATAATTAAATATGATATTATTATATATATAAGTATATATGGGCAAAGAAACAAGCTAGGTGTCGAGATCTACAACAGGTTTTCCAATGAGTGGAAATGTAAAAGCAGGAATGGTTTTAATGCTGCCATTAAAAAACATCTTACAGATCAACCCCTATTCTCTATTCAATTAATGATTTTTTTAATCCAAGTTAATTATTAATTGTCATTAGGTTAATCCTAGAGTTGTTCATAAATATAATTGATATTATTTTAGTTGTAATATTGTGATAAAAATAATAATTGTATTGACGTAAATTGTAAATATTGAATTTAAATAAATTATATAATTGTATATCTATATACACTTATTAATTTAGAGTCATATCTTTAACAAAAATAAAAAGACAATCTTTAATTTTAAATTTTATTCATCGCTCTCTTACACAAAAACATGTTTTGGGTGCAATCATTCTCAAAAATAAACCTAATAATGCACAATATATATATAAATAGTATTTGGTATTCTGTGGTAATTTTAATGACACTTCTATCAAAGTAAATATTTGCTTAATAATAGTAATAATTATATATATATATATATATATATATATATATATATAATGATGTGCTTAATATTATAATAACATCGCAATTCATTCAAGTTATTCTGATCCAATAAATTATTTGCTAGTTTATAGTACACGCATATATTTAAATAGTATATTTTGGTTATGAGATAATGAGCAAAGTATTGCTTTTATAGTGTAAATTTAACTATAGATTAGAATCAATTTCAAATACTAATAGCTAATATGTTATTAATATTAATCATATAGTTTTCGCATATAAAATAACATCACAAATATATTTAAATTAAATTAAAATATAGAAAGAAATAGAAATACAAGCCATTATGTAGACAAAAATACAGTAATAACCTTTATCTAAACTTTGGTATAGCTGTATTTAAACTTCTCTCAAGAACATTTAAGACTAAGCACTAAACTAATCATTAATATTAATTCATTACAAGCTTATGTCTAAATTTAATTTTAAGTCCGATAATTACAGGAAAATATAACTAAATATATATTTCTAAAGTCATTTATTAATATACTATATTAATAATAAATAAATATATAGATATATATATACATATATATATATACATATATATATATATATATGTATATATATAGCACACCAAACAAAATTTTTCTGTTATATTTGAAAATTATTTTATAAGTTCTATACCTATTTAAATTCACACCAAATAAATAATTTCCTATATAGCACACAATGCAAACGATCATCTAGTTTCATAGTTTAAGTCAATTAATATTCTACACTGTATAGAAATTTATATACTCAATATTTAAGCCACTCGTGGAATGCATCAAGCTTACAAATATAAATATTAAGACAATGATAAATGATAATACTACTTCCAAATAATGAAAAAAAATTAAGAATGGTTCACAAGAATATAACTTTCTAATTGTTTTACAATTTGCTTTAAATGCATAAGTGCATAAGTGGTCAATGGTGTATAATTTGTTACAAGCAATTGAGCAATTCGACTAAGATTTGAGCAAAAATAATATATTGTCAATTAATAATACTAAACCGCTTGATCACAACTAATATAAAAAATATATTTTTGTAATCAATATTTGTGAAGTTAATATTATAATATATCTTTGTCATTAAGGCCTTTTGTTTGTTATATCCTATTGTTTTTTATAATCTGATTAAATACTACATATTTTATCGTGATATATACTAATATTTAAATATTTTAATAAATAATGTAGGCACTCTTTTATTATTATATTACGATGTGAGATAATACTTTAAATTTGATTCAAGAATTTGAGAAATATGAGACCCTAATAACTATCTTAATTTTATTTATATAAATTCTATTATTGGCAAATGCAACTGAAATATAATTGTAATTTAGGCAACTATCTTCAACATCCATGTATAATTCTGACTAGATCCAAACCATTTTAATAAAACTTTTGTTTTTCTAAGTCTAACTCAATATTTAATAAACTATCTATATTAACATTTTATCAAACGCAACTTAGGCATAAAAATATGACTGATAAAATTCGAATATAGCAAGTCCAGCTCTAAAAAGAGCTTATAAGATCACATCTTAAGAGATTTTTTATCATTGAAATAGAAGTGTATTTACAAGTCATAGTAAAATACTCTCAACATTTTTTTGTGCTGAATAGTTTTTAACTCTTCTAAATGTACTTTGAAGGAAAATATATTATGATGTTCTACATCGAACTCGAGAAGTTTAAATTTCATTTTAAATGAAGATATTTAAGATTAGCAAAAATACTTCTCATAGTAACATTAAAGATAATTATTAGTAAATTCAAGATAATGCCTGATGTACAAAATGCACATAAATATTATGAGCTACAATTTTTTAAAATATGGCTCTTGTATAATTTGTATTTAATATAAAATTATTAATTAAGGTATTCATAGAATTTGGTTTTACTATTGAAATGTACAATACATTCAAGCATTTACTGTTACACACATTCATAAGTTATAAATTAGTGATCAAACTTTTCAATTTTATTTACGATGATCAACGCCAAGTAGCATAGCTGCTTCATGAGCAGATGCTGAAAAGAGTACTTTATTCAGCACTCCTCTATCACTAATTCCTAATAAATTGCCAATTAGATCTCCATCTGGTCTTCCATTAGCAACAGCAGTGTTTTTAGCTTCCTCATCACTTGTATCGGACACAGAGTCCATTCCTCCGTTATTTTCAACCTGGGAAGATTCACTTTCGGTGGTCGTGGATCGCAGGCGTAAAGAGTGTCTGCTTTGGGCTGAATCGTGCTTCTTTCGATGGCGCAGCATCGAATGTTTCAGGGTGAAGCGACGCCTGCAGACATCGCACTGAAAAGGCCGAACGCCGCTGTGGGTGCGCATGTGCCGGCGAAGATCTTCGGCGCTCCAGAAGCGGCGCATGCAGAAGGCGCATATTACCTATTCAAGATAAGAAAATTTAATAACATATTTAAATAGGATTAAGTGGTATTTTCCCTCACAAGGGTATTATGGTCTAGATTTAAAAAAAAATGTAAATCGAATATGTGTATAGTGTACAGAGAGGTTTTTCCAAATTTAAATTATTTTTGGAGATATAGGTGTTTGACCAATGCATGCATTAAGAAATCGATCATCACTCACCTTCCTGTTGGCATAATCTGGAAAACGTCCTTTTCCTGCTTCAGATGTGGCCTCTTCATTATCATCATGCTGGTTGAGATTTTGAATTTCTTGTTCAGCATCCATCGCACCCTTTGATACAAGTAATTCATATTCTTCAGAATGAGAATCCTTGATATGATCCAATGCTATTTGTCTTTCCGGATAAGATCCTTCGCACAAATGGCACTTGAATGGGAAATCGGAGTTCATAACATTGCTAGGATGATGATTTTCATTTCCAGTTGTTTTCGTGCCGATTTGAGCTTCCCAATCAGTCACTTTAGGTTTCTTCTCCATGTTTTGATCTGATGCATTTTCCGAAGCAGGACTAGCAGGTCTCGAGCCGCCAGAAAGATGTTCAGTTGAACTAGATGTATTAGAATGTTTGCAGGACATATGCTTCTTCAAATTGCTGATAGTAGAGAAAGTACTGCTAGGGCAAGAAGAACACTTGTAAGGGCGCTCAGGAACATTGCGAGTTATAAAGCCCATGCTATTGATTTCTTCACGAGCGTTTTGGTTATTTTCAATATTAATCGAAGAATTTGGTGTCTGTTGCGCAAGATGACCATGCTTACGTAACAAGTGTCTATCGCAATTCGATTTTGTTGTAAACAATAAAGGGCAGTGAGCGCATTTATAAGGTTTTTGACCTGTGTGAGTTAATATGTGGCGCCTGAGAGACGAAGACCACGGAAATTTGCGATGGCAGTATGTGCAGGATACCCTATTAGGCGCCAGGCTGTAGGCAGATTTCTTTTTTTCGCCACCTGGCCGCTGTTCCGATTCAGATCTATTATGAGAAAAAATTGCAAATATTAATAAACCATCAATTTTTGAATTTTTTACTATAATAACTAGATATACGTACTTATTTTCATCGCTTCCTGAATTATTTTCTTCACTTGCTGATCCACTAGCTACTAAACCTTCTTCTTCGCCTTCACTCTCATCTACACTTGGCGCTTGATTATTTCTAAAAACGAAATAAAATCTTGATTAAAAATTCACATAAACCATTTTAAAAAAATGTTTCATAATTTTGAATTAGGTTGAATATTTATGAAAAGAATAATAGTATTAATTTAATATAATTACCTAAAAAATTGTCCAAATGGCAATTGTGAATTAGCATTATCTAGCAATTTTGATACTGATGCTAAATCTGCTTCTTCCATTTTGCCTTTAGCTTCAATTTGTGACTTTTTAGACAAAGCTTGTGCTAATTTTCCATCTAAATTCAATGGGGTATTTTTCACTGTAGCTACTGGGATGAAACTGTCCGACTTAGTAAGATCCATCGGCGACTTCGGAATTAAATTTGATACGATTTTCAAATCGAAATCTTTTTCTTTAATACCAGCAGCAGTAGCTTCCATAAATTTAGCTTGTTGCAGAATTTCATTAGCCACTTTTCGTGCTTTAGCATTATCGTTCATCGTTAGATTAGAAGGTTCTTCTTTGATTTCTGGTTTTTCCTCATGAGCTTCTTCATCAATAACCAATTCTACGTCTTCGTCGTCTTGTTCCGGTCGTTGAGGAGGTAATTCAGAACGTTGCAGTTGTTGCGCCAAAATTGCGTACTTTACTTGATCAGATATATTAAATCCAACTGGTTGATTTTGATTATCAATCGGATTTGTCACCTGCGAGATAGTTTGACTAACAGGTCCTCTTCGTATGACGTGTCCTCCTGATCGTTGCCTTTGGGCCCAATGTTGTGGATGCTGCTGCTTCACATGTCGCTCCATATTAGATCTCAAAGTAAAACGTGCAGAACAATGTTCACAAGAGAAAGGTCTTTCTGTTCTGTAACGTCTTTGTTTTTGTTTAGGCATTAAAACACCATTTTTAATAACCATCTTCACTGCTCCTGGGCTGTGTGATGTTGGAGTGGATGTTTCAACTTGTTTATTTATCGGTGAATGATGATTTGGAGAATAAGGCGAGCTATTATCCAAACTTGATGGCGGAGTTGTATTCACTAGTAAAGGATTTTTTATATCTTCATTAATAATAGGTACCTTATCAGTTTTGGCAGCTACAGCTATGTTGAAAGCCTGTTGTTGAAAAGCTTGTAAACGTTCTGATGCCAAGGCCATGTTATTCATAATTAAGCTTCCGCCAGATAATTGTAAGCCACGGATTATTTCTTTTTCTAACTCTTTCATACTTGCTATATCTTGTGCATTATTTGGAGGTGTAAGAAATGGATGCGCTGCTGTAGGTGGAAGAAAAAATGGAGAAAACGCAGTCGGTGGCAAAGGAAAACCACCACGATACCATTCTTGAAGTTGAGCAGCATAAAAATTTGCAGCAGGTCCTTTGAGGCGCTCTTGTTGTTGGGCCATTTGTAACATCGCCGCTGTAAAATCTAATCCATTTTTAGATAAATCATGTGGCTCAGAAGTAATCGGTGTTACAGGCAGAGGTTTCTCTTCTGGTTTTCTCTTTTTGCTCAAGTCAAGAGCATCCATGCTTAAGTCTATGGGTCTATAATCATCTTCTTCACTATCTGGTTCACATTCGATATAACTTGGCGGTCTCGATAATTCTTCTAAACTTTTTACGTGTATTTTCTGTGGTGGAATATTTTCGATTTGCTGATTGGCTTCAAACATGCGAGTGGTTAAATTGCATTGAGGTATGACAATAGATAAATCTCGTGGCAAAGCTAAATTTGTGGTAGATCGCTGAGATATTAAGTGAGATAAAGGTGTAGATCTATCATTAGGTATATGTTCAGGTACACTCTCAGGATCAGTTTCGGGGGTACCGAAAATGGACGGAGTAACAGTTTGCACATGATTAATTTGTTGATCTCTTTTTAAATCATCATTGTTCGGATCTTCTGAAGGATGGTAAATAATAGATTGTTTTACCTCTTCTCTTGTAACTTTAGCATGGCGATTACGTAAATGTCTTTCACAATTGGCTTTAGTCGTAAAAGCATAGTTACAGATGGCACATTCGTAAGGTCTGTCTCCGTTGTGAGTGCGCATATGGCGCACTAACGCGGCCTTATCGGTAGAAGAGTGAGGACACATATTACATCTGTAAGGACCTGGTCCATTTCCAGTCAAATGCAATCTGTTATGCCCTTTTAAAGCTCGCAGGTTAGGGAAAACCGCCGTACATAAACGGCAAGGAAACTCACCTCTAAGCTTCATTTTTCTAAACTCAGCTGAGAAAAGATCTTGCGCTTCTTCTTCAACGGGATTTTCCTTAGCGCCTTCTTGAATCGGCACTTCTTGAGGTTTAGTTGAAAGTTGTTTTAGTAAAGCTTTTGCTGAGGCCATGGATATGATAGATTGAATATCCGCTAGATCCTTGTTATCATTATTTGTAATCAGAGGATTCAGCAAATCTTTATCTATGAGTTTCTCCTCCGATTTTACTTTTATAGTTTTGTTTTGTAAATTTAAGGTAGCAAAAAAATCTTCGCGTTTAACGTCATCGTCTGTATTGACATTCGCCGATGTTTTGTGAGATACTGCAACAGATTTGCAAGTTTTTTCGTGTATTTCTAAAGCGCTGGCACATGGAAAAGCCAACGAGCATCTCACACATTCAAAACATTTGCTTCCGTTTGCAGGTTTGTGCACATTTAGTTCACAAGCAGCACGTGCTATATGCGGAAATTTTTCAGCAGAAAAATCTACAAATGTCAAATCAGAAAAACCTACAACAGGTTTTCCATTACCTTCGTCGCTTTCCTTGTGCTTCATAAATCGATGAAGATGTAGAGCACGAAAATTGTCGAAGTTCAATTCGCACTTCCCGCATTCTATATCGTGATCGGGATGAGCACTTTCAAAATGCTGTTCAAGTAAATAAGTCGTCTGAAAATCATTCTTGCCACAAACGGGGCACGACGAGAAGTCCTTGTCATCCGTGTACTTGAATTGTCTTTTATTTTGAACATCGTTAATAATTTCTTCATCGCATTTGCGTTTGATGGCTATTCTGTTATTGTTGTTCTCAAGTCGTTGACTTTGAGCATCGCTATTGGAATCCGTGGAGCCGTCACTTTCACAACTGTCGGTGCGCGCGGACGAATCGTGGCTCCTCATATGACGATGCATATTGCCATTGGTGTTAAATGTAACAGAACACACGCGACATCGGAAAGGTTTTTCGCCACTGTGGACCAAAATGTGCCTATCCAGACTAGAATTCGAACTAAGCATTTTGTAGCAGATCTTGCAGGTATAGTCTTTCTCGTTTTCATCGACATTGTTATGTGTTCGAATGTGTTCAGTAAATTCGTGTGCCGTCTTTACTTCAAAGTTACATACCGGGCACGGAAATTTTGTCTGATCGTCTCTATTTGTTCGGTAGTCCATGACGTTTGTGTCCGACAACACATCGCCATAGGCTGATTTCTCTTTTGAATCTTTGGTAATGGCTGTTTCCATCGCTGTACCGGATTTATTACAATCGGCGGAGGGACAGTGATTTTTGATTGGTTCTTCTTTTGGCGTATTATTCAATGATGTCAAGGTTTTGGTAATGAAGGTTTGGTCATTTTCTTTGGTTGGCAATTCCATTGTTGTTAGATCTGAAAAACAATAAATTATTATTTATTTATCTTATAAAATCTTAATGAAACAAGTCAATGTAATAATAATAACCCCATCATACGTGTATTAAAACGTAAATTATTTTGTTGGCATAATAATAATAAAAAGCCTCTATTTTTATTATTATTATGATTAATTACGACTTCTTAGAACCCTTACATTATTTTAGGTAGTGGCATGTACTATAGTTTTATTATTGATAACCCACTTTAATCAAAAATACAAAAAAATTAAAATACAAAGTTTAAAACAAAATTCTCACATTTAAGACAAATAAAGCTCTTAGCAAAAGTAGAGAAAATTATTTGATCGATAAATAATTTTGATAACTAACCTTTGGCTATGATTCGATTCGCTCTTGTTATTGAACGTCTCAACATTTCAATAAGTGTCACCTGGAAATAAAAAAATAGTTTAATCAAAAATCGTTATAGCAAACAAATTATTTCAATTTTATCAAATCTTTGATATCTAAGGAATCTAATACTGTTCGAGTTAGATACTCTAATTCATAGACAATATGATGTCATATATGACGCAATAAAAAATAATAACTATTGAATATTATTACGATATATGGACATATTAGCCAACAGCTCGTCTTCTTACATGAATGCTTGTCTATCATGGGCCGTTAGAGATTGTGCATATGCCACGCCGCTGCATATATAATTTGTTGATATAACATAGGCATCATGCAAAGAAAAAATTGCACGGAATTTAAAAAGTAAAAACAATGTTGTTAGCATTTGTGAAACTGAGTGAAACACACATGCGCTCAGTAGCCAATGTGAATTCGAGTGGAACCCTTGCAGAATAGATTTTAACTCGATAGAAAGATATTATAGGGATTAACACTTTGGTAAAAGATATAATATAAATGCAACTTGAGATAAACAATAGTTGTAACAGCCACAGTTGTATCAAAATAGATACAGTAGTAATATTGGACAATACGAGCATAACGATTGATCATTTCTTTAGCATGAATCTAACCACATTAGTACTGGTTTGTTCACACTGAGTTAGTTCCGAATTACCACCCCCATTATCTAAAAAAAAACGATATCCCCTGTTTTTTAAATGAGTGGTATATAGAATAAAAACGCTGGAATAAGTTCGCTTAATGCGCGGAACCCCTACACTAAACATAGGTTCCCAGATATCCCCTGATAGGTTTCACATTTTACAAGCGAATTGTAACACATAATATTGAAACAAAATTCGTATTATATGGGGTAGAAGTATCTTTCACCTGTGCATTTCGACACACCTGCGAAAGAAAAATTATGTTAAAGCCTAATGTTTATGTGCTCAATGTACCGCAGAAAAATGAAGAATGAGTGAATAAACATTAGTTAATTCGATTTATTATAAAAAATATATTTAAAAACAAATTATATATGTATTGTATATTGTGTATGTGTGTTTATTTATTATGTCAATTAATTCTAAGAATGCAATCATGTAATTCACTCGTACTGTATGCATTAATCTAGCAGAAGTAGGTATACGAGTACATGTGCAAATTCAGCGCAAAATCAAGAAAATCGGAATACTAAATTGATCCAGAAAGTTGGGTCAAGGATATCAGGCTGTAGCACGCACCACATTCATGTTATCAGAATGCAGTGGTTTACTTAATTATTAGATAGCTGCTGCTCTACGCGATCGATGGGGTGAATACATCGCACAAATACATATTGGAGAAGAAATTTGTAAAAATTAGGAATGAGGAATGGGGACAATTTTTGTAAGTGAATTTAAAATTTTTACTTGATCGTAACCGTTCTAGAATAAGATAGAACGCATAATATGATACTAAGATCCATCATAAAAGCCCCATGTCAGCAACCAAATCATCTATAACGAACAGAAAATTGATACAGTAAGCACAAAATTTAAAAAAATATCAGTAATAGCTATTATTGATATTTTTATCATTTTGCTTACTGAAACAATTTTTTGATGCCACTTAAGGATTACTCGACGCTCAAATCCTAGCATGTAACAAATAGTAAATCACACGCCGACTTTGTGAAGGTTGAAAAAAATGGCCAAAAGATAGAAACCGTTTAATTAAATTTCGCATTAAATAATTAGCCCTAGCATTATTTAATATAAACCTTATATTAAATAATTAGCCCTAGATTACTTAAGATAGAGCGAAGCTTAAAGTTAGCATCTTTTGACAACAATATTTGAAAGTAGAGAGAAAAAGATGTGCAATCAGCCATCGCCTTATAAATCAAGCTACGATAAACAGCTACACATTTAAAAATCTGTAACAAATGTTGTTTAGTTTACAAGGTCTTAATATAATTTTAGGTTAACTTTACTTAATTGTTTTATCAAATTATTCTTTATTTTAATTTTGATTCAACACAGGTTTTTATATAACCTTTATAATATTATAAAAAATACTAACTAAGCCTGGCAAAATCGTAAATAATAAAAAAGCAATTTTGCACAAAATAAACTAAATTAAAGCTATTATATAGTAAAATCCCTTAAAAATAAAAATAAGACATTGCATCGGTTTGCCCCCAAGCTGCTCCATTTGACCCCGTCTATGGGGTAAAATGGGACAGATGACAAAATTTAGAAAACAGTAATAAAACATTTCTATAATCAAGAATTTAGTGGGAATTTTACTAAGCATAGTCGATAGTTGTTGTGTTGTGATGTAGTTAATTTAGTTTAGACAGCAAAATTACTTAAAGTCAAGTTGGACCATTGTGCCCGACCCTATCTTACCATAGAGGGTAAAAAGAAGATTAAAGAAGATTGTGATTCTATTCTATATATGTATGTGATTAGATCCATGAAAAACTTTATGATTCTATTGTCTGTACTGAAGAAAAAAAGGAGTACAAAATCTTGAATTATTTTGAAGAAGTACGTGGAAAAATGTAAGATTCTATTTATTGTCCGGCCCCAAAAAAACATTTTTCTTCGTGATATAATTTTATTCCCGATACTACGATCGTCAATCTCTCACGGCATCGTCCGACATGATGGTTCCGCGCCAGCGATTCGCCGCTGGTACCTATTTCATCCTGCGTTTTTTCCTTTTTTATCCTACGCGGTCGCCCTTGGCTACGGCCCGCGTAGGTAGTATCGACCTGTGCGCTGGCTTGGCTGGCCACCTTTCGTCTCCGCTCCCGCCGCGCTGACCTGGGCGAAGCGCGACGCGCGGATCTATCGTCGCCTGGGCGACGCATCTACACAAAACCGGCGTGGTACAGTCTCGTCGGAAAACTGCGGAGAAAATGGCGATCGAAGGGGGAAGATGAAATAGATACTTGGTAGAAAATTTTACTGGTTAAAGCCTATTTCTCAAGAAGTTGTATGTTCAATAGTTGAAGAAAATTGGGGAAAATGGAAAATGGAGAAAATGGCGATCGAACGGGGAAGATGAAATAGATACTTGATAAAAAAATTTGCTGGTTAAAGCCTATTTCTCAAGAAGTAATATGTTCAATAGTTAAAGAGAATTGGGGAAAATGGAAAATGGAGAAAATCGCGATCGAACAGGGAAGATGAAATAGATACTTGATAGAAAATTTTACTGGTTTAAGCCTATTGCTCAAGAAGTTATATGTTCAATAGTTGAAGAGAATTGGGGAAAATGAAAAATAGAGAAAATGGCGATCGAACGGGGAAGATGAAATAGATACTTGATAGAAAATTTTACAGGGTTAAAGCCTATTGTTCAAGAAGTAATATGTTCAATAGTTCTGGAGAATTGGGGAGCTATTGAGAAAATATAACATGATCAAGATGAAAACGCTGTTTCCAACATTAATACCAAAAATTTCCTATAATTTCAAATTTAAGTAATCAAAAACAAAAGAAAGATGAAATAGATACTTTATAGATATTATGACTTATCATAGTTCATTTCCCAAGAAGTAATATTTTCAATAGTTGTAAAGAATTGAGAAAACGTAACGCGACTGATATAAAAAACATTCACACATATAATGAATATAGGGTTTATTTTTCTAGAAATAATATTCAATTAGCGAAAGGAATTGGGCACAAATAAAGAAAAATAGAATCCCTATTTCGTACATCAACGCCAAAAATTTGCTACTAAATTATTATTTGTCTTTTTTCCTTTCTTTTATAGTTGATCGCATTGTTATTGACAAAAAGCAAGAAATCCACAAAATTCTAAATAATTCCTGTCTGGCTGGTTTAGTGATTTTTTTTTATCACAAATTAAGAGCAAGAATTCAAATTACTAATTAAATTATTCATATAATCAGCGCTAATTTTAATTAGATAGATATCATTAAGATCTAATTATGAATAAGTAATGTGCACATATTATTTATTAATTGGTTTTGTAGGTCATTTATAATTGGCAAATTGTGTACCTACTAAATTACAATAAAAGTGAAAATTTTACAATAAATTACATTATTTACAAGATTGGATATTAAAACTTTCTTCTAATAAAACAGTAATAAATATATGATTTTAATTGCTATGAACCGATAATTACATAAACATGATTATGACAACATTTTTTGGCACATACATATCATCATACTCGTAATGGAAAAGTGGCAGAATTTTGTGTATTGACGAGTATATTCATCATGCGTATAGATGTTTGACCAATGGCTATTTAGATTGTATTTTTTAAATAAAAATATAGAATAAATAGTTGTAAGTGGCACTACAAAACAAAAATTTAACACTATTCTGACGGTACAAAAATATGCACAATATAAAAAAGTATTCATCATTGTTGAGAATTTTAAAATTCAACGCTGAGCGATATCAATCACTTAATCCTTTCTTGTATGTATAATTAATTAGTCTGATTTCAATGCGGCGATTCGCTCAGCCGATGGAAACTAGTTTCGAGACGTAATAGATGAAAATAAAATGAAAATAAAATCGACCGTAAAAAGGGAGCTTTGGCAATGGGCGTAGACATCGCCAAGTATTGTACAAAAGTGGGGATATAATAAAACGTTCGCTTTCGAGATCTCGGATATAGCGAGAAGAGGAAAATCTTAAGACTACTATACATCAGTTGATGTACTCTTCTGTATATATGACTACTACACCACTATAAGAAGAAAATCGGTGCTGCTGTTAAATATGGTAGATTTACTAGAATTTAACCTAGATTTTTTTTTTAATTTTGTCCAGAGTCAGATTCAAACCCACGACTCCGTCTACACGAGTATGTGCGGTAGACAATTACGCCATAAAATACCCATATTATATATATATATATATATATATATATATATATATATATATATTCATTATCGCCCCCTTGGCACTTAGTTTGCGCAGTATAACAACATGTAAATGGTCCGCGAGTTTGTCTTGTCATGGCAGCAGCTCTTTTATTTCGTTGACCCTTCTA